TACATGGTTAAAGATGTTTTTGGTATTGGAGAATCTGGTGGTATGAATCATTATATCATCAGCAAAAAAACATATAAGGGGGGCGATTAGGCATAGCACTGTAAGACATTTTTTAAAATATTGAATGGGGGGGACGGCACACCTCCCTGGGGGGTTTCTAATTCAAAGTCTTTAGTTATTTCTATCCCCTGGAAAAAAACCAGAAGACTTTTGTTGGAGATACCCTTTTTAAACCAGCAGAAAAGCCATCCTCCAAAAACTTCTGGCAAGTTCACTATGATTTCATTGGGTTGGTACTCAAAAGCAAATTTAAGGTAAAGGAAGGTGTTTTGAGCTGTCAGTGTGCAATGAGAAAGGGGGTTTTAATCAATGATGCCGCCCCTTTCCATGCTGAAACAAAAACAGTGGTGTGTTTCCCTTAAACCTTTTTGTCCATGTTCACCATTATAAAAGGGGGTACCTGGGGTGTTAAGTCGACTGGTGTGGGTTTGCATCCGGGACAAAAGCTGATCTAATTTGCCCGAAATGCCTTTGCTAACAAACAGCTTTTGTAAGATATGTCATTGAGCAGTAGGTAAACCTTGTACATGTATTTTTTAGAAGTAAAGTTTTTTTTTTTTTTTTAAAAAAGTCAACCGTCTCCCCCGGGGGGCAGGGGCCCCAAAAAAAAAAGAAAATCCCCAAAAAGAAATACTTCATCATTAACACTTTCACCACATCACCATTTTCACGTTTTTTCAGAGGTGCTCAGAAAAAACAAAAAAATTTAGAAGCATACACAATAAAGATACACAAATATTCCCCCCCCCCCAAAAAGCCATATCCCCAAAAACCCTCCTTAAAGTGCAGGCATTGTACTTCCCATTCCCGGGGTCAAGTCCCCAAATGAAAAAAACAAGGACTGTTGACACTGTCCCCAAGGGGTCCCTTTGTCTCAGTCCACAAGTAGCTTGTACAACACTTTCAGGAGTAAATTATTATTTAATCAAAAAGAAAGGCTAAGCCCCAAGGGCTATACAGCTTTAGAGTAAAAACTGAAATGTAGTAAATATAAATTACAAAATTTCCCGATCTTGGGCTTGGCACACTTATTAAAAATAATTAAAATATCCTTTATTTCCCCATCCAATATTGTGGCCACGTGACTAGGGGGTTTAAATAAAAAAAAAAAAAAATTTTTAATTTTTAATAAAATGTTTTAAAAAAAAAAAAAAAACCCGGTAAGTTAAAAAGTTGGACCCCAAAAGACGAAACTTGTGGAGGTGTCTCAACTTTGTCCCAAAAGAAGAAAATAGGGTTCCCTTTTTCCTCATAGCTATTAGAACCACTGGTTTTTTTTATCAATTTTCCATACTCACTCCTATCTAAAGTAAACATATTAACCCCCAAAACAAACTGTATTTTTTAAATTTTATTATTGTTCTTAATTCTACCCAAAACCCGTAATCTATAAATTAGTGTAAACATAACAATAAAATGTGTGACTCATGATTTTTGATATTTGGGTTTTAAAGGGGACCAAACATTTAAAGGTTTTTTTTTCAGGGTGACCCAAAAAAAAAAGAAAAAACTTTCTCATATCAACATTTTCCCACCCATCACTCTACAAAATACGTCTTTGCAGGGCCCAGATAGACAGCTTAACTCCCCCAAACTGCCAACACCCAGACCCCCCCTTTTACGTGCAGGATTGATTTTCCCATTTCCGGGGTAAAAGTCTGGCTAACCGGTTTCCCTGCCCCCCCTTTCAAAATTTATTCCCCCTGCTTACACTCCCACTTGTGGGGTCCCAAAAACCATTTGTCCCCTTTCACTCCACCTAAATGTCCCCACATTTTTGGGAAGTCAAACCCCTCACCCCAAAACCTCCTTTACCCCCCCCTCCCTTAAAACCTTTTTTTGGGGAAGCCCCTCCTCCCCTTTTTCCCCCCAACAGATTTTAGCTCCCCCAATTTTTTAGTCTTTTTTCCTTTTCCTAAAAAGCCCAAAACCATCTAAAACGCCCCTACTAATCTTTTTATCTCCACACCTCCTAATTTCCATACTATAAATTCTTTGCATAATATTTACACCACACATGCCCTTAGATTTGACATACCCCTCCAGCTCCCCCTTTCACGCAGCTTTAAAACCCATGTTTCACACCCATAAAAGGTTTTGGGAAACCCACAAATTTTTCTCCATTCCCTTCTTTGCTTCGTATAACGTTGTCTCCACGGATACCTCATGCACCACTTATCTTTTTTCCTTCATAAATTGTATGGTTCTAAACCTTCAAAACCCCCTCCTGAAAAGGTCAACCCCCAAATACAAAAACATTCACTTTTTCCATCTCCCCCCTCCAATTGTTTCCCAATTTTCTTTACAAATCTTTTTGATACCCTCTTCACCTTCTCTTTTCTATGTTCACTTTCAACTTTCTACCTTTACACCATTCTAAAACTCCCAAAACCCTTTTGAAATTTTTTTTAGAAATCCCCCATAAGCACGTATCACAGCAAAAAAACTGTGTCAACTCTCATTTTGTATTTGATTCCCCAATTTAAACCCCACCTCCCCCAACACCCTGCATTACTTCTTTTACAACCACAATCTTAAATATGTTAAAAAACCTGGTGACATTACACACCCCTTTTGTAAGACTATGTTACGGAAGTAATCTCCCCTTCCTACAACCCAACCCAGCCCACTTCTTTCTTTTTTTCTTTCAACAAATGGCCGTATCCCACAAGGGGGGGTGGGCCCAAAAAAAAGGAAAAAAAAAAAGTTTCTTCTTTTTTCAAAATTTTTTAATATACAGAAGAAGGGGTTACTAGCCCCCCCGGTCCCCGGGATTTTTGGGCAACTCTTACGCACACTGGCTTTCAGAGGGAAATTTTTTTTTCCACTTCCCCATGGGGTAAGGGAAAAAATACAATACTAATAGAAAAAAAACGAAAAAAAAAAAACCCGGAGGGGTGTTAACAAAACTTGTACATGCTATTAGTTGACCTAAATGTAAAGGGAAATAACAAACAAAACTAAACTGCTGTTTATGAGACAGAAAAAAACCAGGAATCCTATCATCATTAAACAATTTCAGGTTTTTGTTTTTTCACTCGCTTGGCAGGACGAAGTACCTCCCGGGCTTGCCTCTACCAACCCACTCCTGATTCTATTTAAAAACCTTTTTTCTAAAACCATAAATACAATGAAATTTCCCTACATTTTCTAAATACGTTCACATAAATCTTCAAATTTAAAAACCTGATCACGCACCCCACCCATTGTAAGCCTCCCTTTTCCCTACAATCTTCTCTCTCTGTTACCTCTAATTCTTTCAGTACCCTGTACTGCATAAATCTGTGATAAAAATGAGAGTTAATTAATCCCTACAAGTAGAACCTTCACGGAAAAAACACATTTAAATTTTGGTAGTGAAAATAAATGTTAAATTGAAGGGATAAATAAAACTTAAATATTATTTTTTCATATTCACAAGCTTTAAACAAAACTTTTAAAAATAAAAAAAAAAATCCTTGTACAAAAATTGGCATCTTTAAATTTAACTACAAGGGGGGAATGTCAAAGAAACAACAGCTCACACTGAACAATACCCAGTGCACCCCTTAATTATTTTATTCATTATTCTCAAGTGTAAAAAAAATCTTTCCCATTTTTTTTTTATAGATTACAAGGGCTACAACTAGTTCCGAAAAGGTTTTAATTTATGATTTTAGAAGCCCTTTGTTGTTAGTTCCGTTATGTAAGTACCTAGCAGAAAATTTTTTTGTAAAGATAAATCATGATAGGGAATCAGGGAATAAAATTTTTTCTTTTTAATTCTGGATACTTTATGGTATGGGGGAAAAAGACATTTACGTATACTTCGGGGCATTTATTAGAGGCAACATTTTGCCCCTAGGGGCTTCTTCAGCCTTGCCCCTTAAGACTGAAGATGCCACTATCTACCTGGGGGGTTGTTTGGGGGAAACAATGCCCCGCAAAACCCCCGGGCCCCCTAATTAATGTCCTGAACTGTACGTAAACCCTCTTTTTTCCACATCTTTTTTATTTTAAACCTAAACCCTTTTACATTATGAAAATTTTACCGGGCAGTTTAAAAATAAAACCCGAAATACTTTGGTTTAAAATCTCATCTTGAGCGAGACTAGTTACAGTGATGGTTCCCCCCAATACCCGGAAAACACAGTATTAACAAAGTCGGGCAAGATTTTTCCCGATACAACATGCAGCTTCCCAAAATTTCATAAAAGTTTTTCATTTTTTTGTACCCCTTTTAACTATGGGCAAGACCCGTATATATACCTAAATTTTTCCCGTTTAAAAACATCTACTGTATAGTAAAGTGCTGCCCCTTGGTTTTTCCCAAAATTTTATTTTTTTATGCTTTTTCTTATTCGATGATAATTTATTTGTTTGAAAGAAAATGGGTAAAAATTATAACTTTGTAAATCCCTGTTTCAAGAAAACTTGTTTCAATTTGGAAAAAAAAAAACAATATGAGAAATTCCAAATGGGGCCCGGGCCAAAAATTTTCCCGGTAAAACAAGAAAATTTTCTTTTGTGAAAAGATCCTTGCTGGGCCCCCTGGGCCCCTAAAAAAACAAAACCCCTATAAAAACAATAACAAAAAACTTGTAAAACACTGATATGGGTTTTAAAAATTTTCAAAATTTTACATTTTTTTTATGAATGTTTACCAAGAAGTTATAAGCTTATCACCCTTACATCAAATTTTTTTTTTTTTTTTTTCAACAAAACGGTTTTCCCACCCGAGGCAGGGGGACCCAAAAAAAAGAAAATTCCCCAAAAAGGAAAAAACTTTCTTATCATTCAACACTTTTCCCCAACTCCAACATTAAACATGTTTTAGCAAGGTGCTCAGAATACAAACCCGTTTAGAAGCATTACGTTTTAAGATAAAAACCCTACCCCCCAAAATGCCAACATCCAAAAATTTTTATATATATAAAAAAAATGAAAAAATTTTGTTTAAAAAAAAAAAAAGGCAAGAAAAAATATAAAATCCACTCATATTTGCTATACAATGATGTGGGAAAAATTCTACATTTCTTGACTTATTTTCGCTCTTGAAAAATTGTAAGCAAACCATAGGCACCAAATGGCCACAAGCCCCCCAAAATTTAAATTGGTCTCAAAACAATTAAGAAAAAAAAAAAAATAAATAAATCATTATCTTTTCCTCTCTTCTGCCTTTCCTCCTTTCACCACCAACCACAAAGGCAGTCCTTGTCTGGTGTGAAGACACTGTGAACCTGTCAACACATCTCACAACTTCTCTGTCTTACCTCTGTCCACTTCACTTTCTCTGGTCATGTGCCAATTTTCTTTTTTTTACAATGCTAGACTTTAAAGTGAAAATCAGTCACAGGATTCAATCAAGAGGTTTTGTGTACAAGGGCCTGGACATGCAGCAGGCATGTGTCAGCATGTTAGATAGGAGTGAATTGAAACGAATGGTTTTTTGGGACCTGATGAACTGTTGGAGTGTGAGCAGGGTAAAATTTTGTGAAGAGATTCAGGGAAACTGTTTAGCCAGACTCAAGTCCTGGAGGTGGAAAGTACAATGCCTGCACTTTAAAGCTGGGATATTGGCTATTTGGAGTGATTCTAAAGTGTCGTATCTGGACAGTGATTATGCGTGAATGATGGTGACAGTGCTCTTCTTTTTTTTGGGTCACCCTGCCTAGGTGGGAGATGGCCGACATGTTGAAAAAAAAAAAAATGTTTGTTTAATTTCCATTGTCCAAATCTGTTATTTTCTTTTCATTTCTTCCTTATATCAAATGAATCAGTTTAAGAGTGATATTTAAAGGGATACTACATTGTTAAAGAAAAAATCAAGTGATACTGAGTAGTGATGGGACGATACAAAATTTTTGCCGATACTGATACTCAATTTTAGGGTGATAGAGAGACAATTAAAATCAGTCAATACCCATCCATACTGGTACTTTGGTACATTCCTAATACTGTGCACAGGTGACTGCATGAGTGAATTAATAACAAATATAGTGAATTACTGGCAGAAACTGGGACACAGCTTAACAACAAACTGCATAAAGTGAAACTACATAAAGTTAGGAAAATCTGTACAATAGCTGATTTCTGGATAAGTAGGACATCACTGTACTTTACATACTCATATTTTGCTGACAGTTAACTACTATCTGTCAACCAAGCTTCTATGGAACTTCAACAATCACTACAAGTATAAAAATTAGCCTACATGAAAATAAAGCTCAATTATGGAGAGTAGATTTTTCAAGATTTGCGTTGAATTTCTTCCATCATACTATCGACCACCCGCATGTCTTCCTTAAGAACGCTAACCACAGCTTGAAGTGCATCATGCTGCCATGACATATATTGTGAAACATCCTTCTCCTTGTCCCCTACAAGTCCATAGCGTGGTCCGCCTCGAGAACTTCCTGGCTTTACTGACATCTGAGCCATGAGTTCGTTCAAACATCCCTGAAATGATAATTTTTAATAAAACATGATGACCTAACCATGGAAGAAAATATTTCTTATCTAATGTGACACTGCAGCCCACATAACCACAACCATATAGTAGAATAAGTCCATTTTAAATGTGAGCCAGACTCAAGGTGTTGACAGCCATTTTGATAAAGCGTAAAGTGCCTGGCACTGGTGTATTCATTTTGATTTGCTAGTGCAAGACTAGAAGCAGTTACCAGCAAATATAAGAAACAGTCCAATTTCAAAGGAAACTGGACTACTATCTCCTGTTCTAGAAGTGGAACATCCTAAAGAATAAAAAAGCACAATATAGTGTCTGGAACAATATACAAATAACCCATTCATATGAGAATGAAACTTATGATGACCCTTTGGGCTGACTTGGACCATTAACTAGTGACTGTGTGCACTATGTCCAACTTGGCCTAGTGAGGCCATATCAGGCCTCTCCCCATGTTTCAAGATCAACAAACAATGACCTTTACAATGTAAGGTACAGTATCAAAAACTTATTTTTGATGAAATAAGTGCTTAAAAAATTTGTTGGTTTCTTTGGGTTTATCAAGGACGTAACCCTATTTTCCTCATCTATTATTCACAATATACATCAGGAATTATATATAGTGCCAATTTGAGGAACATACCTCTGTGATATGTGAGAATTTAATGTAGATGTTAAAGCTGGTGTATAGTACATTACTCACCCGGTACTGAGTGGGCTGCATCAGTTGCATGTACAGATCCTCCAGTCGCATCCGGATCTGTTCCTCAGTTTGGTCCAGTGGTACTCCTCTTTTTCTTTCAACTTCTTGTGCTGACACCAGCTAAAATAATAAAGTAACATTATGATATCAATGATGCTACAAACATATATTTTGTTGGCTGACAGTATAATACAACTTACAGCCAGTAAGCAATCTTTGTTGAAGCCCATTTTTGTGATAATAAATAAATGGTGCTTTAAAACTAGTAATTTTTAGGTTAATCTGGGCTACCGTAAACTAAGAAAAAAATAGCACTGAAAGGATATTTAATTTATTTTCTTAATTAGAGAATGAGTGATGGATCACCTTGCCCAGGTGAGAAACTTCCAGTGAAAAGCAAAGAAAAGTTATAGAATAATGGAATGGGTTGAATGGAGGTAGAGTAAACTCTTAAGTAGCCAGCATCATATATAGCAAGATTCTAACTCTAACAGCTTTTCATTTCATACTGAGACACACAGTTTGGACAGAGGCTCCAGTGTGACTGGACAGCTCTGCTGATCTACCAAAGGAAGAAACACATAGATGTATTAGCTCCAAGAACACCCAGGGAGAAGTGCTGTGCAAATAAGTACAGTGCATAGCGTAATGTTAGACTTTTTTTTGTCAATGCACCGGCCATATCCCACTGAGGCAGGGTGACTAAAAAAACTTTTTTTTTTTTTTTTTTTTTTTTTTTTTTCAACAAGTCGGCCGTCTCCCACCGAGGCAGGGTGACCCAAAAAAAAAAAGAAAGAAAATCCCCAAAAAAAAAATACTTTCATCATCATTCAACACTTTCACCACACTCGCACATTATCATGTTTTTGCAGAGGTGCTCAGAAAACAACAGTCTAGAAGCATACACACATAAAGATAACACAACATATCCCTCCAAACTGCAATATCCCAAACCCCTCTTTAAAGTGCAGGCATTGTACTTCCATTTCCAGGACTCAAGTCCGACTATATGAAAATAAACCGGTTTCCCTGAATCCCTTCACTAAAATATACCTGCCCCACTCCAACAGATCGTCAGGTCTCAAGTACCATTCGTTCTCCATTCACTCCTATCTAACACGCTCACGCATGCTTGCTGGAAGTCCAAGCCCTTACCCACAAAACCTCCTTTACCCCCTCTCTCCAACCTTTCGAGGACGACCCCTACCCCGCCTTCCTTCCCCTATAGATTTATATGCTTTCCATGTCATTCTACTTTGATCCATTCTCTCTAAATGACCAAACCACCTCAACAACCCCTCTTCTGCCCTCTGACTAATACTTTTATTAACTCCACACCTTCTCCTAATTTCCACACTCCGAATTTTCTGCATAATATTTACACCACACATTGCCCTTAAACAGGACATCTCCACTGCCTCCAACCGTCTCCTCGCTGCTGCATTTACCACCCAAGCTTCACACCCATATAAGAGTGTTGGTACTACTATACTTTCATACATTCCCTTCTTTGCCTCCATAGATAACGTTTTTTGACTCCACATATACCTCAACGCACCACTTGCCTTTTTTCCCTCATCAATTCTATGATTAACCTCATCCTTCATAAATCCATCCGCTGACACGTCAACTCCCAAGTATCTGAAAACATTCACTTCTTCCATACTCCTCCTCCCCAATTTGATATCCAATTTTTCTCTTATCTAAATCATTTGACACCCTCATCACCTTACTCTTTTCTATGTTCACTTTCAACTTTCTACCTTTACACACATTCCCAAACTCATCCACTAACCTTTGCAATTTTTCTTTAGAATCTCCCATAAGCACAGTATCATCAGCAAAAAGTAACTGTGTCAATTCCCATTTTGAATTTGATTCCCCATAATTTAATCCCACCCCTCTCCCAAACACCCTAGCATTTACTTCCTTTACAACCCCATCTATAAATATATTAAACAACCATGGTGACATTACACATCCCTGTCTAAGACCTACTTTTACCGGGAAGTAGTCTCCCTCTCTTCTACACACCCTAACCTGAGCCTCACTATCCTCATAAAAAACTCTTTACAGCATTTAATAACTTACCACCTATTCCATACACTTGCAACATCTGCCACATTGCTCCTCTATCCACTCTATCATATGCCTTTTCTAAATCCATAAATGCAATAAAAACTTCCCTATCTTTATCTAAATACTGTTACAATATATGCTTCAATGTAAACACCTGATCTACACATCCCCTACCCACTCTAAAACCTCCTTGCTCATCCGCAATCCTACATTCTGTCTTACCTCTAATTCTTTCAATTATAACCCTACCGTACACTTTTCCTGGTATACTCAGTAAGCTTATTCCTCTATAATTTTTACAGTCTCTTTTGTCCCCTTTCCCTTTATATAAAGGGACTTAACATGCTCTCTGCCAATCCCTAGGTACCTTCCCCTCTTTCATACATTTATTAAACAAAAGTACCAACCACTCCAACACTATATCCTCCCCTGCTTTTAACATTTCTGTCATGATCCCATCAGTTCCAGCTGCTTTACCCCTTTCATTTTACGTAATGCCTCACGTACCTCCCCACACTTACATTCTGCTCTTCTTCACTCCTAAAAGATGGTATACCTCCCTGACCAGTGCATGAAATTACTGCCTCTGTTTTCTTCCTTAACATTTAAAAGTTCCTCAAAATATTCTCGCCATCTACCCAATACCTCCATCTCCCCATCTACTAACTCCCCTACTCTGTTTTTAACTGACAAATCCATATTTTCCCTAGGCTTTCTTAACTTGTTTAACTCACTCCAAAATTTTTTCTTATTTTCATTAAAATTTTTTGACAGTGCCTCTCCCACTCTATCATCTGCTCTCCTTTTGCACTCTCTCACCACTCTCTTTACCTTTCTTTTACTCTCCATATACTCTGCTCTTTAGTAATTTATACAGGAGAAGGGGTTACTAGCCCCTTGCTCCTATTTTTAGAATATGTTGTAAATTACAATATACTGCACTGTGAGTACATACATGAATTGTATTTATTATTTACCACTTACGCAGTATTTCCTACGTTCATTAATCACATCCTCAAACTTCTCCTTAATTACATTTGCTTTCCATTTTGAATTCATCATGACACAAAAAATTCAGTTTTCAGATTAATAAAATATAGCCATGAAAGATTGGTCATGATTTAAGTAATCCCAATAACTGAAGCAGGCCTAGTAAGACAGGAGGGGGGAGGCCTTAACCATCCTCAGAAAAATTGCCAGTAGTAAGTTTTCCATTCTATCAACTGATAACCAGAAACAACCAATGAAACCATAAAATTCATCCTAGAAAACACCGAGAAGTCATTATTGTAAACCAAACACAAGGTCAGAGTTTTGTTTTTTCCATCATGCAATGTGTGATGCAGGATTTCTTTATACTGTGCACACTCACTGTGCCGACCCAATTTCTCATGTCTAGGCCAAAATTTACTGCTTACAACTTATCTGAGTGACCTGAGCTTATGATGTACAACTATGTAAGGGACATAGTTCAATGATGTTGTTTTATGTGATGGCCACTCAAAGGCTTAATTTTGGGGGATGTGACAGTGAAAGGTTAATTAGGGAAGGTTAAGTTAGGTTAGATTAAGTTTTGTGGTAGGTTACATCAAGTTTGGTTTGGTTAAGGTAAACCATGTTAGGATTTGTTAAGTTATATATCTTCTTTCTTTCAACAAACCAGCCATATACCACCAAGGCGGGGTGGCCCAAAAAGAAAAACGCAAGTTTCTCTTTTTAAATTTAGTAATATATATACAGGAGAAGGGGTTACTAGCACCTTGCTCCTGGCATTTTAGTTGCCTCTTATAACACGCATGGCTTACGGAGGAAGGATTCTGTTTCGCTTCCCCATGGAGACAGGTTATATATATTAAATTTTAAAACTACTTACATTAAATCTTTAATTTTTAACTACTTAAAGAAATGTTTTTTTATATGGAGAGCAAAATTACCCAGAGTGAAATTCTCTAGGCATTAAATTACCAGAAGTTAAATTACCAGAGTGAAACTACTGGGAGTGAAGTTCTCTGGAAGCTTAATTACAGAGAGTGAAATTACCAAGAGTGAAGTAACCTAGAAGTGTGACTAATAAGCAACTGGAAAAACTTAGCATGGTCACAGAAACAGTGGATTTATAAAAATAATAAGTTGTATGGATCAAATGCTTGAAATCAATCATACAAGTTTGCAATAGCTTGATAAGGCAATAGGATGAATGGATCGAGTGTTTGTACACACCCTGCGAGATCAGGCTTTCTCATTAATCATCTGGAGAAAAAAAACTATCTGTTCTAGTGGCCTGCAGGCTCACACAGCCATCACAACCTGAATGATATGGCAGTTGTAGGTTAACAGTACCTTGATAAGGGCAAGGAGCAGTTTAGTGCATTTAAGGATTTGGAAAAACTACAAGACAGGACAGCAATATGGCAAGTGTTGCAAATGTCAAGAATTATTTCAAGATGTAATGAGATTGTGTGAAAGGAATAAGTTTTTGTGTATATGTGTAGGAGAGGAGAATGGTTTTCAGTAAGAATGCAGCTTAAAGAAATGTGCTGTCACTACCTGGAGGGTGTTCCAGGGGTCAACGGCCCCGCGGCCCAGTCCTTGACCAGGCCTCCTGGTGGATCAGGGTATGATCAACCAGGCTGTTACTGCTGACTGCACATAGTTCAACATGCAACCACGTGACTTTATTTTGAAGATGCCATAATTGCATACAGATGACAAAGTGCCACTGGGAAAAATCAGACAAGAAGCTGCAAAGGTTTGTAGAGGTGAAGTTATTATTAGATTATCTGTCAGGAAAAAATCATATGAAGAAAGTCTTCATCAGAGGATAACATGCATAAAAGTATATTGAAAAAAAAAATTTGAGGGGAAAAGGTAGAAATACAAAACAGGAAATGAAATGCAAAAGGTCAGATTCGAGGGACTACGCTGCATGCGGAGAAAATGGCTGAAAAGGATACATTATTTTTTATTCAGTTTTGCTAACCTTAAGAACTCTGCGAGTCAAATTGGCTTGTTTCCACTTGGCATTCTGAATGGCAGCCTTTACCATAGTTTGTTTATGTTTTAGCAGTGTTATCTCATCCATAATATTGTTCATGCTTGCCTGAAGCTGTTCAGCATGTTCTTCTTGATACCTAAAAAGAAAGGCAATGAGCACTAAATGTACATCCAGGGGCAGTGTCAATGGGGTTTGGGGAGCTTCAGCCCCCAAATAAAAAATAATATTAACAATACTGATAATTCAAAACAAACCCCAGCCAAATAGCCAGCCTCAGGCTCCCCAGTACAGACGCTCCTTGCTTTATGATGGTTCGACTTACAATATATTGACTTTGTGATAGTGTGATAGTGATGTACATTCTAGTCATCAAACTTTTTTTTTTTTTTTCAACACACTGGCCGTCTCCCACCAAGGCAGGGTGACCCATAAAAGAAAGATTTTTTTTTTTAACACATCGGCCATTTCCCACCAAGGCAGGGTGGCCCGAAAAAGAAAAACTTTCATCACCATTCACTCCATCACTGTCTTGCCAGAGGCATGCCTACACTACAGTTATAAAACTGCAACATTAACACCCTCCTTCAGAGTGCAGACACTGTACTTCACATCTCCAGGACTCAAGTCCAGCCTGCCGGTTTCCCTGAATCCCTTCATAAATGTTACCTTGCTTACACTTCAACAGCATGTCAAGTCCTAAAAACCATCTGTCTCCATTCTCTCCTGTCTAACACGCTCATGCATGCTTGCTGGAAGTCCAAGCCCCTCGCACACAAAACCTCCTTTACCTCCTCCCTCCAACTATTCCTAGGCCAACCCCTACCCCGCCTTCCCTCCACTACAGAGTTGCATACTCTCGAAGTCATTCTATTTTGTTCCACCCTCTCTACATGTCCAAACCATCTCAATAACCCCTCCTCAGCCCTCTGGATAATAGTCTTAGTAATCCCACACCTCCTCCTAATCTCCAAACTACGGATTCTCTGCATTATATTCACACCACACATTGCCCTCAGACATGACATCTCCAATGCCTCCAGCCTTCTCCTTGCTGCAACATTCACAACCCATGCCTCACACCCATACAAGAGCAGTGGTATAACTATACTCTCATACATTCCCCTCTTTGCTTTCATGGATAAAGTTCTTTGTCCCCACAGACTCCTCAGTGCACCACTCACCTTTTTCCTCTCGTCAATTCAATGATTCACCTCATCCTTCACAGACCCATCTGCTGACATGTCCACTCCTAAATATCTGAACACATTCACCTCCTCCATACTCTCTCCCTTCAATCCGATATCCAATCTTCCATTACCTAATTTTTTTGTTATCCTCATTACCTTACTCTTTCCTATATTCACTTTTTGTTTTCTTCTTTTACATTCCCTACCAAACTCATCCACCAACCTCTGCAACTTCTCTTCATAATTTCCCAAAAGCAGTGTTATCAGCAAAGAGCAACTGTGATAACTCCCACTTTGTGTTAAATTCTTTATCTTTTAACCCCACACCTCTTGCCAACACCCGAGCATTCACTTCTCTTACTACTCCAACTATAAATATATTGAACAACCATGGTGACATCACACATCCCTGTCAAAGGCCTACTTTTACTGGGAAATAATCCCCTTCTTGCCTACATACTCTAACCTGAGCCTCACTATCCTCATAAAAACTTTTCACCGCTTTCAATAACCTACCTCCTATTCCATACATTTGCAACATCTGCCACACTGCCCCTCCCCCTATCATATGCCTTTTCAAAATCCATAAATGCCACAAAAACCTCTTTATCCTTATCTCAACACTGTTAACCTATATGCTTCACTGGAAACACTTGGTCTATATACCCCTACCTTTCCTAAAGCTTCCTTGTTCATCTGCTATCCTGCTCTCTGTCTTACTCACAATTCTCTCAATAATAACTCTACCATACACTTTACCAGGTAAACTTGTATTCATTTATTCACTTTTCAATACTGGTATTTCGCTATAGTAATTATTTGTTTATTTACTTATTCAGTGACAGTAGCTATTTATTTTTTTTAACACATCGGCTGATTCCCACTAAGGCAGGGTGGCCCGAAAAAGAAAAACTTTCATCATCATTCACTCCATCACTGTCTTGCCAAAGGGGTGCTTTACAGTACAGTTATAAAACTGCAACATTAACACCCCTCATTCAGAGTGTAGACACTGTACTTCCCACCTCCAGGACTCAAGTCTGGCCTGCCGGTTTCCTTGAATCCCTTCATAAATGTTTATTTACTTATCACATTAATCTTCGACATATAATATTTTTAACTTACCATGGGTTCGTCGGAACGTAACCCCATCATAAGTCGAGGAGCACCTATAGAAATTCTGGTACTGCACCTGTGTATCAGTCACTGCACAATCTAAGAAAGATTCCCCCACAATCCCAGCCCTCTCAGTGCATGCAAAGGAAATAGTACAGAGTGCAGAATAAGTTTCTAATGCAGCTCAAGATCAGTATTAAAGATACAAAACCAATTAGAAGAGGTATTCACAACTTACTGCATGGAAACTAATATCTCAATTTTTTTTTAATAAAAATGTCAAATTAGCACCACCACAGTCAATAACCAATCTGAACCTTCCACTAAGTAAGATCCACCAACTTTGAAAGTTCAAAGCCAATCAAAAGCAGAACTACTAAAAAGATTAATTATAAGGAAACATGAGAACGGCAAAGACATAAATTATACCAAGTCTCTCAAACAAGAAGAAAACTGAAATAAAGAAATGCAGTAACATAAAAATGATAAAAAACAAAATGTTGAAAGAAAGGAGTATGAAGTGAGTAGCTTTCTCCCAAGTTACAGAACACAGTCACCCATGAAATGGTTTACCAGCACATTGAACAAAACATTAACAGAATCAGAACAAAACCAAACAAAGCATTAACAGAATCTGAACAAAACCAAACAAAGCATTAACAGAATCTGAACAAAATCAAAGAAAAACTAGAAAATTAGCGGACAAAAAAACTGTCAATACAATACATTAACCTAAGTGTACTGACCATAGGCAACATATTACTATTCAGAACTAATGTTATAATTTTTTCACATTAATATTCATTAAATCTTTGTATGCATATCAACATTAATCCTGTACTCATGTCTACCTCAAAGTTGATATGAATGACCTTTGAGCACTTAAGAGACAGATCATGTTTGTCACTAAGTGTCACAGGATTCCTAGCTGCCAGGTTTATGAGACTAGCTTCCTTAATAATAACTTAAACTCTTCTCTTACCTGGGCTTCACATAGCTGCATGGTACCTATTTTGTTTTTTTTGGTTAGTGACTGTGACACTGTGGTACTGTAAATGTGGGTGGGTATTGAGAACTTTCAAACCAAGGGAAATAATACCAATGGTGGCACTTTTCAAATTACTAGTGCTCCCTTTTTTGGAATATTGTTCAGTGCTGACGGCCCCTGTTCAAGGCAGGAGAAATATCAGAGCTTGAACAATTACAGATTGTTTATAGCCTGCAAAGAGCCAGTAAAGCAATTACTGGGAATGCTTTAAAGTCTTGAATATGTACTCGCTGGAGCGGAGGAGAGAGAGATACATGATAACATGTACCCAGAAAGTACTCCAGGGCCTGGTCCCAAATCTGCACAATGCCATAACAACATACTGGAGTGAAAGATATGGGAGGAAGTGCAAAATAAACCCAGCGAAAAGCAAGGGTGCAATGGGCACAATAAGGGAACACTGTATAAACATTCATAACCCCAGATTGTTCAACATCTTACCAGAAGATATCAGAAACATGGCTGGAACAAGTATAGAGGTCTTAAGAGAAAACTGGATAAGTATCTTCAACAGGTGCCAGATCAACCAGGCTGTGATGGATATGTGGGGCAGCGGGCCTCAAGCAGCAACAGCCTGACTGACCAGGCTAGCACCAGATGAGCCCAGCCCATGGCTGGGCTCTGGGAGTAGAAAGACTCCTGAAACTTATCAAAGGCATACCAAAGGTAGAGGAATGGGTTTCAGCCTTATATAACCCAACCCTGGATCAAAGAAGATAAAACAAAGAGTAAAAATGTTAAATCACAAAATAAAATTTTGGAGATAATCTATCATATTGTTTAGTAGATACCTAAGAAGTTATATCCAAGAAGTGAAGGATTAATTCATTCCTCTGATATATGGGTGTGGCTAAAGACATTGGAAAGTACATGGTCCAAGTATCAAGGAGGAAAGGTGCACTGAACAAACATCAGTTATGGAAAAGTGCATTTGTGTCAGTGATCATTAAAGTGCAGTGATGGGAGGGAATGTTATAGCCAAAGTGCAACAGAAAAATGTAAAAGGGGTTTCTTACCTGAACTGTTTTTGTAGCTCATGAAATCCAACTTTAACAACAGGAAAGAACTTCTTGGGGTCAGGATTTTCCCGCTTGCCCTGCTCCCACAATGCTGGATCAATTCCTAAATGTAATATAATATTAAAACTACTGTATTTAATATAATTTCATTCACCAAGTTTAATTATAGCTAATATAAAAAAATAATCAGAATCTTTCCTCTGTAAATCATATGTGTCATAAGAGGTGAAAAAATGTTGGGAGCAAGGGGCTAGTAACCCCTTCTCCTGTATAAATTACTAAATGTAAAAAGAAGAAAAACTTCACGTTTCTTCTTTTTCAGGTCACCCTGCCTCAGTGGGAGACGGCCATTGTATTAAAAAGGATCATTATATACTCAAAGAAATGCTTTTGTCTCACTGCACTATATATACGAATACTCTCTTCATGTATGTAGTGGTCTGGTTTGATCACATATGTGTAGATTTTCTAATTAATTTCTTCTTAGTTATTATCCATAAACTGACAAAATCAACTCATTCAAAATAAGGCAAACTAACCATGGTGAAGTAAAGTATAATCCTTGATGTACAAGAAACCTCCTTCAGTCTTACTAATACTGTGCTCAACACATCTCTAACTACAACCTGGAGTTTACCTGGAGAGAGTTCCAGGGGTCAACGCCCCCGCGGCCCGGTCTGTGACCAGGCCTCCTGGTGGATCAGAGCCTGATCAACCAGGCTGTTGCTGCTGGCTGCACGCAAACCTTCCTGATATTCTAACCAGTTCTCAGGTAGAGATTGTCAAGAGCAAATTGGACTACCTACAAAAAATGATAAATCAGTAAATGACTTGTAGGCTTCGAGGACATTTACAGTCTGATGAAGGCAGTTAACATGAAGTTTATTCTTAAGCTAATGTCTCGTATAGTATTTACTCTCATAGTCTCCACTGTTAGTTATCCTGGAAGCCCAAACTTTCCTGCTGTGCCCTAAAACAGTCTCTCCCACTTTTATTAGGTTTCCCAATCAATTTTCTCTCACTTTTCAAGAATCCCTCAATTCTTAACCCTTTAAACTGTGAGACATGAAAAAAGTGCTGTGTTGTGCCAAATTTTGAAATTATTTTTTATATCAGACTGAAAGAGCTATTCTCTAAATATAACACAAAAGGAAACGTGAAATCATAAGAAAATTGTTTTATGAGTATTGACTTGTGCAAGAATGTTTATAATCGCACAAGATGAAATTATGACCATGTGAACATATGGGATCTTATTGTGACGATTCGCCATCAGTGGCTTTATCAATACAAATTTAGACAAACTTGAAGATAAAGATACCCATATGTTGCACATGTGTCTTAATTTCTCTGTCGGTTGTATTACATTCTTGCACAACTTGTTGACACTGCAACATCATGGAATCTGATTCTGAGGATCATGTACATATCTTCACGACTAACGACAACACTACTACAACTAACCCACTCTTGGGAAGGGACCTACTTCCCTGGGAATCCCGCCTACCAGTGACTATGCCCTCGTTGCTACACTGCGTTACTATATAAGCGCCGGCTCCTTGCTTTGCTTCAGAATCTCCACGACTACGGTGCTCTTCGCACCTACTCCTAGGTTGAGGGACTGATTACCTCATCTTCTGTATATAGTCCTACTGTCTTCAAGTTATGTCCTAGAATTTGTATTGATAAAGCCACTGGATGGTGAAACGTCTACAATAAAGATACCCAGATGTTGCACATGTGTCTTAATTGTATTGAACTTGGCGAGAAAAGATTATTCAGGAGCAACACTGGCATAAATGCTCATGGAATTTTTTGTGTTCTAATTTCACCCTGCCTTGGCTGTCTCCCACCGAGGCAGGGTGACCCAAAAAAAGAAAAACTTTCACCATCATTCACACATAATCACCGTCTTTGAAGAGGTGCCAAGATACAAGAGTTTAAATGTCATTTCAAACTGCCAATATCCCAAACCCCTCCCTTAAAGTGCAGGCATTGTACTTCCCACTTCCAGGACTCAAGTCAGGCTAAACAGTTACCCTGAATCCCTTTACAAAATATTACCCTGCTCACACTCCAAAAGCTTGTCAGGTCCCAAAAACCATTCATTTCCATTCACTCCTATCTAACACCCTTATGCACGCTTGCTGGAAATCTAAGCCCCTCTCCCACAAAACCTCCTTTACCCCCTCCCTCCAACCTTTTCGGGAATGACCCCTACCCTGCTTTCCTGCATGTCCAAGCCCCTTGCACACAAAACCTCTTTTACCCTTTCCCTCCATCCTTTCCTAGGATGACCCCTACCCATCATCCCCTCCGCTACAGATTTATACACCCTCCAAGTCAATTTAATAACAATTATGATTTTCTAAAAAAAAATTTCTCAATGTCTAACACTCTTCCTACTATTTCATTATAATACTTATATTACAAATGGGTTTTAATACTTGACGTGCTGTTGGAGTGTGAGCAAAGTAACATTTATGAAGGGGTTCAGGGAAACCGGCAGGCCGGACTTGAGTCCTGGAGATGGGAAGTACAGTGCCTGCACTCTGAAGGAGGGGTGTTAATGTTGCAGTTTAAAAACTGTAGTGTAAAGCACCCTTCTGGCAAGACAGTGATGGATTGAATGATGGTGAAAGTTTTTCTTTTTGGGCACAGCCTTGGTGGGAATCGGCCAGTGTGATATAAAAAAAATATAAAAATTACAAGGTGTTTGTCTTTAAACATGAAGAGAAGTATATCACTCCATGGGCCACAATTGAATTTACTAAAAGGTATAAAATACCAACAAGTTGATAAGTAAGACACAAGTGCAACAGTTAGGTATCTTCATTTGAAACATTTTGCCTACACAGTCGGCTTCTTCAGTTGAGTACAGAAGAGTTTAGCAGAAGCAATAGAGATGTGAAGACGATGTAATCAGGTCATCACCACGTAATCAATCCATCACCATATAATCAGTCCATCACCATCAGATCATGTAATCAGTCCATCAAGGGTGATGGACTGATTACGTCGTCTTCACATCTCTATTGCTTCTGCTAAACTCTTCTGAACTCAACTGAAGAAGCCTACTGTGTAGGTGAAACTTTTCGAATAAAGATACCTAATTGTTGCACGTGTCTTACTTATCAATTGAATTATTCACTACAAATTAGTAAAAACATGTAATATTTAGTGAAAGGATTCAGGGAAACCAGTTATTTTTATATAGCTGGACATGAGTACTGGAAATGGGAAGTACAATACCTGTACTTTAAAGGAGGGGTTTGGGACACTGGCAATTTGGAGGGAAATGTTTTCCATCTTTATATATGCTTTTAAAGTGTTGTATCTGGGCACCTCTGCAAAGACAGTGATTATGTATGAGTGAGGTGAAAGTGTTGAAGGATGATGAAAGTATTTTCTTTTTGGGGATTTTCTTTCTTTTTGGGTAACCCTTCATCGGTGGGAGACGGCCAACTTGTTGAGAAAAAAAAAGTACAGTGGACCCCCGCCTTACGAAGATCGCGTTAGTTAAATCTGCCATACGAAGCATTTGAACGAAAAACTTTGCCTCACCTCACGATAAAAAACTCGCGTTACGTGATTCGTACGGGACGTGTCCCACGTGTGGCCTCAGCGCCAGTGTTTACAAGCCAGCCAGTGCGGTTGCATCTACGCATACATTCAGTACATTTCACATATGCCTCAGAAAGCTTCTAGTGCCATCCCTGTGGTAAAAAGGGCAAGAATTAGTATGGAATTGAAAAAAGAGATTAAGGAAATGTGTGCAAAGTGGGTTGAACTGCAAACTTTACAGATGAAAATCACCCTGACAAGCTACTGCAAGCTGTGTTGGCAACCTGTACAATGACAATGTATGGCCCATTTTAGGAAAGTCTTAAAGGAACGGGAGGTACAGAGCTCTATGGACAGATTTGTTGAAGAAAGGAAGTAGCCCCAGAAAAGGACTTGCTACCTCAAGTCCTAATGGAAGGGGATTCCCCTTCTAAACCATAACTTCCACACTCTCCCTCCTCCTTCCATCCTCATCCCAGATCTTCAATAAAGGTAAGTGTACAAAAATTTACTATTCTAGTTAGTATAATTGTGCATGTTTTCTTCAGTTTGTGTGTATTAAAATTAATATTTCATGTGGTAAAAAATTTTTTGTTTTCATACCTTGGGGTGTCAGGAATGAATTAATTTGATTTCCATTATTTCTTATGGGGAAAATTAATTCGGCTAACGATAATTTCAGCTTATGATGAGCTCTCAGGAACGGATTAATATCGTAAGGTGGGGGTCCACTGTACTAATTGTTTTTTATTTGCACTGATTGTTTTTGACTTTTAATATTATATACCACAAGGCAATATTATATTATTGCAATTGTTTAACCCTTTCAGGGTCCAAGGCCCAAATCTGGAGTCACGCACCAGTGTCCAAGATATTTCAAAAAAAAAATTTGTTGTATTTATTATGTATTTTTCTTAGAGAATCTTTTTCGTGAAGGTAATAAACAAAAAGTATGAAAATTGGTGGAAAATTGGGGAAATTACGCTCTCGCGAATTTTGATGTGTCAGCGATATTTACAATCGGCGATTTTGCAGACTTTGACTCCCTTTTAGGCCAATTACATTATTCCAATCAACAAATTCTTAGCTATTTCACTAGTATTACTTCTATTCTATCGATTGAGCACAAGAAATCGCCAACTCAACTGTTTCAACTACAAAATAAAGTGATCGGAAATTGTTAATTTGGCCAATTTAACACAAAGTTCAAATATTCCAATTTCAAAATAGGGTCCAGAATGAACAATGTAGGCTTCCTGGCACTAAACTAACATTTCCTCTGTTCATTAGTTATGTTTTGAGGCTTTACAAATAAATTTCATTTTGATTTTTATTCACATAATGAATTTTTATTCACACCAAAAAATAGAAGATTTACTGTTATGCAATACTGTAATAATTGTATAATTCATCACCATATTTGTGAATGTTTATTAGACCCACCAGCTGATGTGTATTAGACGTGTGAGGTCGTTTGTTTACTCTTGAATATCGGCAAAAAATTAACATTTCCGCTACTTTGAGCTCAGTTTCAAGCCATTTCCAATGCTAAAACCAATCAAAATCATCTCTATTTCTGTAATATGTCTTCCATTCTATCAAATGAGACCAGAAATCGCAAATACAACTATAAAAAACATACGAAAAAACACTGCAAAGTTGCTGTTTTAATCAAAAAATCATGATTTCATTTTTTTTCTCTCATTATGCACAGTGTGCTGCAGGATCTGTTTTATGTGGTGCACACATGCCACATAGATGTATTCTCTCATATCTAGGCCCAAATGTACCACTCACAGTTTATCAGAGTGAGCTGAGCTCATGGCGTAGATCTACGGTTTGGACCCTGAACATAAAGCCGTAGATCTACGGGACGGACCCTGAAAGGGTTAAAGGTATAATACTCCTCAAAGCATGGAGATAAGTCACACTGACTTTATTGCATTACCCTAGGTTAATTTTACATAATGGATTGTTTTGGCCGAATTCCACTGTTAGTACAGTGGTCCCTCGTTTATCGTATTTAATCCGTTCCTGGAGGTGCTACTATTATCGAAATCTACGATTTTCAAATCAATTTTCCCCATAAGAAATAATGTAAATACAATTAATCCGTTTCTGACACCCAGAAGTATTAAAACAAAAAATTTTTTTACATGAAATATAGATGTAGTACATAAACAATACAATGGGACATGATGAATGAAACATTAACAGCATAACACTTACCTTTATTGGCGATTCTTCTTAGTGTATGCAAGACTGGAGGAGGAGAGAGATTGGATTATTTACAGTTTGGAAGGGGAATCCCCTTCCATCAACACCTCAGGTACCAATTGCTTTTCTGGGGTTACTTCTCTTCTCTGTTTCTTAATGCCACTAGGACCAGCTTGAGAGTCACTGGAGTCCAGTCTTGCAAAATAGCTGTCCAGAGAGCTCTGTTTCTGGCATCTCTTTAACCACTTTCATATGTTCAATGATGTTTTTCTTAAATTCAATCATATTTCTCACCTTCTTTACCAAAGGCTTGGCACTAGGAGCTTTCTTTGGAGCCATGGTAGCTTATTTAGTACTTGCAAGCACTAAAATGACTGGAATATTATGAAATATTTCGTAGAAGCAAGTGAGGGGACCATTGCTCACTGGTAAACAATGCCACACTGGCTGGGAAGGGAGGCCGCCCCGGCTCACAGTGTGCATATGCGTCCCTGATGAACTACTATTCGCGAGTCAATCTACGATTAGCGAGCCCATGTTTATACGAAAATATCGCTATGATTTCCGAAATCTACGACTCTCGAGCCCTACGATTATTGAGGGACCACTGTATTATGAAACTAATAAATATGGAAGAAATAAAGCATCTTCCTGCCAGTTCTATATCCTGTTTGTTGGTAGGAAAGGTGGTGGTGGTGGTGATGGCACCACAGGTCCTGTTGACTGATGTTAACCTGCCTGGTCCTAGAATGTTTTCTCAGGCATGATGAGATGGTAGGCAGCCCAATTAAGCTGAGACCTAAAATGGCAGTAGCTAGCCACAGTCTGGTCCCAACATATATTGTACATGTGACACATACTAGTGGTTAACACAGAGAATCTCTACCCTACAGGCACAAACACTTAATATAACCCACCTCTTTGTAACTGTCCATCCCCACCAACTTCCCTTTCCTAGGCAGGCATCTACTTTTTTCATCCCTGTCTTTGTCCTCTTTACTCTTTTTACTATGACTATATACACTATCCATTCCATCTTCTTTCTGTATTTCCGTAAAACATTCCTGTGAAGAACGTTCACATAGCAGTCTTCCTGTCCTATTCCTAAATCTTAAAAATGGTTATATATATACAGCAAGGTAGATACTACACATACCTCTCTGGGGAGTGTCAAGGTATTCCTTCATCTGTGTTTCTGTCAACATCAGCAATGGAATGACTTGCTCAATGCATAAGTTCTGAAATAGAATAGTATAAGATATGTTATTGGGTAAGTACAAGAAAGTCATAACTTTAAACAAGATTCATAAACAAGTGCTGTTTCAACATACAGATATACCTGTGGCAAATATTCAGACTGGTGGTGCTTTTAAGTACTTCATCCAAGATTTTCGCGCATCACTCTCTGGCACTTCATGAATTATGGCGTGTGCATCCAGGAATTTTCAGCATGAATAACATTAAAGTTTCAGCCATGTGTTGCTGAATTATCATTTTTTTGAGTTCATGTTAATCAAGTGTTTACTGCATTACTATGACATTTTTTATTTTTGTTTAATAAATGTATGAAAGAGGGGAAGGTACCTAGGGATTGACAGAGAGTGAGTATAATTCCTTTATATAAAGGAGAAGGGGACAAAAGAAATTGTAAAAATTATAGGGGAAGAAGTTTACTGAGTATACCAGGTAAAATGTATGGTATGGTTATTATTGAAAGAATTAGAGGTAAAACAGAGAGCAGGATTGCATATGAGCAAGGAGGCTTTAGAATGGGTAGGGGATGTGTAGATCAGGTGCTTACATTGAAGCATATATGTGAACAGTATTTAGATAAAGGTAGGGAAGTTTTCATTGCATTTATGGATTTATAAAAGGCGTATGACAGGGTGGATAGGGAAGCAATGTGGTAGATGTTGCAAGTGTATGGAATAGGTAGTAAGTTACTAAATGCAGTAAAGAGTTTTTATGAGAATAGTGAGGCTCAGGTTAGGGTGTGGAGAGAAGGAGATTACTTCCCAGTAAAAGCAGGTCTTAGACAGGGGTGTGTAATGTCACCATGGTTCTTTAACATATTTATAGATGGGGTTGTAAAAGAAGTAAATGCTAGGGTGTTGGGGAGAGGGATCAGATTAAATTATGGGATATCTAATACAATATGGGAGTTGACACAGTTACTTTTAGCTGATGTTACTGTGCTTTTGGGGATTCTAAAGAAAAGTTGCAAAGGTTAGTGAATGAGTCTGGGAGGGTGTGTAAAGGATATTAAGTTGAAACTGAATATAGATAAGAGTAAGGTGATGAGGGTATCAAATGCTTTAGATAAAGAAAAATTAGACATCACATTGGAGGGAGGGAGTATGGAAGTAGTAAATGTTTTCAGATATTTGGGAGTTGACTTGTCAGCGGATGGGTTTATGAAGGATGAGGTAAACTATAGAAGTGATGACGGAAAAATGGTGAGCGGTGCGTTGAGGTATCTGTGGAGACAAAGAACATTATCCATGGAGGCAAAGAAGGGTACAAGAGTATAGTGGTACCAACACTCTTATATGGGTGTGAAGCATGGGTTGTCACTGCTGCAGTGAGGAGGTGGCAGGAGGCAGTGGAGATGTGTCTATGGGCTATTTTTTTTTTTTCAACAAACCGGCCGTATCCCACCAAGGCAGGGTGGCCCAAAAAGGAAAACTGAAGTTTCTCTTTTCAAATTTAGTAATTTATACAAGAGAAGGGGTTACTAGTCCCTTGCCCCCGGCATTTTAGTCGCCTCTTACAACACACATGGCTTATGGAGGAAGAATTCTGTTCCACTTCCTCATGGAGATAAGAGGAAATGAACAAGAACTAGAAAGAAAATAGCAACAAACCCAGAGGGGTGTGTATATATATGCTTGTATATGTATGCGTAGTGTGACCTAAGTGTCAGTAGAAGTAGCAAGACGTACCTGAAATCTTGCATGTTTATGAGACAATAGAAAGGAGACCACCAATCCTATCATCATGTAAAACAATTACAGGCTTTCGTTTTACACTCACTTGGCAGAACGGTAGTATCTCCCTGGGCGGTTGCTGTTTACCAACCTACTACCTAATAAGGGCAATGTGTGGTGTAAATATTATGCAAAGAATTCACAGTGTAAAAATTAGGAGGAGGTGTGGAGTTACTGAAAGTATTAGTCAGAGGCTGAAAAGGGGCTGTTGAGGTGGTTCGGTCATTTAACCTTTTGACTGTCGCAAGCCCCTTTCTGAAACTGTCATTCTATGTTGCAAAATTTTTGGGGAAAAAAAAAAAAACTATTTTTTCTTATGAAATGACAGAGAATCTTTTCCTGATGGTAATAACACCAAAAGTACGAAATTTGGTCGAAAACTCATGGAATTACACTCCCGCGAAGATAGCGGTCTCGGCGACATATACACATCGGCGATTTCACTGACTTTGAGCCCTGTTTTTCGGCCAATTCCGTTGTTCCAGTTGACCAAACTCATAGCTATTTCTTTAGAACTCCATTTTTTCTATCAGTTGAGTACAAGAAACCCAATAAAGTGGTCAGAAATTAGCAATCTGGCCAATTTCATGTAAATTACAAAAGATGCCAATTTCAAAATAGGGTCCAGAATAAACAATGTAGACATTCTTGGCAATAAAATAACATATTCTCTATTCACTAGTCATGTCTCTAGGCTCCTCTTATATTACTATTGCTTTCTATTTTGATTTTTTATTCATACAAAAAATACAAAATTTACTGTTAATGCAGACTAATGCATTATTGTACAAATGGTATAAATAATATCAGTGAACTAGTGAAAGAATATTAGACTCCATAGTTGACGTGTATTGGACGTGTGGTGTGATTTGCTTACTCCAGAACACTGGTAAAAATCGAACATTTCCGCTATTTGAGCTCAATTTCAAGGTCGTTTTCATCGTGAAACTAATCAAAATCATCTCTATTTCTGTAATATGTTTTCCATTTTATCACGTGAGACCATAAAAATGAGAATACAATGATAAATACTATACAAAAATGCACCTCAAAGTCGGCATTTTAATCCAAAAAAACGGTCAGGTTTTTTTTTTCTCATTATGCACTGTGTGCTGCAGGATTTTTTTTATGTGGTGCACACTAACCACACAGACTCATTCTCTTACATGTGGGCCTACCAGCTTTGTCCTGCTTGATTTGAAGCCGCTAGAATTTACACGTATTAATACGTCCAAAACAGTGGCGTGTAAGTATATACGACTAAAACAGTCAAAGAGTTAAAGAGAATGGAACAAAGTAGAATGACTTGGAGAATGTATAAATCTATTGGGGAAGGAAGGCGGGGTAGGAGATGTCCCAGAAAAGGCTGGAGGGAGGGGGTAGAGGAGGTTTTGTGGGCGAGGGGCTTGAACTTCCAGCAAGCGTGCAGGAGCATTTTAGATAGAAGTAAATGGAGACAAATGGTTTTTGGGACCTGACGAGCTGTTGGAGTGTGAGCAGGGCAATATTTTGTGAAGGGATTCAGGTAAGTCAGTTAGCAGGACTTGAGTCCCGAAAATGGGAATTACAATGCCTGCACTTTAAAGGAGGGGTTTAGGATATTGGCAGTTTGGAGGGATGTCTAAACTCCTGTATCTGAGTGCCTCTGCAAAGACTGATTATGTATGAGTAATGGTGAAAGTGTTGAATGATGATGAAAGTTTTTTTCTTTCTTTTAGGGTTTTTCTTTCTTTTTGGGTCACCCTGCCTAGGTTGGAAATGGCCGATGTGTTAAAAAAAAAATTAGGACGACTTCAAGCAGTGGAATTTATTAACATCTTTACAGCTGAGACACTTTCAGTTTCAGGGAAGATGAATTTGGCAAGATGAAGACAGAAACAAAGTGCACTGTCTTTCCAGCAAAATTATATATATTTTTTTTTCAAAATATCGGCCATCTCCCACTAAGGCAGAGTGACCGACAAGAGAAAAGAAACACTTTAACTAACATTCACACATAATTGTTTTTGCAAAGGTGCCCAGATATGACAGTTCGGATGTCACTCCAAATAGCCAATATCTCAAACCCCTCCTTTAAAGTGCAGGCACTGTACTTCCATCCTCCAGGACTCAAGTCTAGCTAACCAGTTTCCCTAAATTCCTTCACAAAATATTACCCTGCTCACACTCCAACAGCTTGTCAGGTCCCTAAAACCATTTATCTCCATTCACTCCTATCAAACCTGCTCACACATGCCTGCTGTATGTCCAAGCCAATTGCACACAAAACCTCTTTTGCCCCCTCCCTCCAACCTTTCTTAGGACAACCCCTACTCCAGATGAAATAAATATCATCACAATACCCTTATAATAAGACTGATGCTGCCAAGTTTCATGAAGCTTACAAGGATATATTCTACTGCAACCTCAGTAACACACCTGGGATTGTTCTACTGCAACCTCAGTAACACACCAGGGATTGTTCTACTGCAACCTCAGTAACACACCAAGGATTGTTCTACTGCAGCCTCAGTAACACACCAGGGATTGTTCTACTGCAGCCTCAGTAACACACCAGGGATTGTTCTACTGCAGCCTCAGTAACACACCAGGGATTGTTCTACTGCAGCCTCAGTAACACACCAGGGATTGTTCTACTGCAGCCTCAGTAACACACCAGGGATTGTTCTACTGCAGCCTCAGTAACACACCAGGGATTGTTCTACTGCAGCCTCAGTAACACACCTGGGATTGTTCTACTGCAACCTCAGTAACACACCTGGGATTGTTCTATTGCAACCTCAGTAACACACCAAGGATTGTTCTACTGCAGCCTCAGTAACACACCAGGGATTGTTCTATTGCAACCTCAGTAACACACCAGGGATTGTTCTACTGCAGCCTCAGTAACACACCAGGGATTGTTCTACTGCAGCCTCAGTAACACACCAGGGATTGTTCTACTGCAGCCTCATTAACACACCAGGGATTGTTCTACTGCAGCCTCAGTAACATATCAGGGATCGTTCTACTGCAGCCTCAGTAACACCAAGGATTGTTCTACTGCAGCCTCAGTAACACACCAGGGATTGTTCTACTGCAGCCTCAGTAACACACCAGGGATCGTTCTACTGCAGCCTCAGTAACACACCAAGGATTGTTCTACTGCAGCTTCAGTAACATACCAGGGATCGTTCTACTGCAGCCTCAGTAACACCAAGGATTGTTCTACTGCAGCCTCAGTAACACACCAGGGATTGTTCTACTGCAGCCTCAGTAACACACCAGGGATCGTTCTACTGCAGCCTCAGTAACACACCAAGGATTGTTCTACTGCAGCTTCAGTAACATACAGGGATCGTTCTACTGCAGCCTCAGTAACACCAAGGATCGTTCTACTGCAGCCTCAGTAACACACCAAGGATTGTTCTACTGCAGCTTCAGTAACACACCAGGGATTGTTCTACTGCAGCCTCAGTAACACACCAGGGATTGTTCTATCGCAGCCTCAGTAACACACCAAGGATTGTTCTATTGCAGCCTCAGTAACACACCAAGGATTGTTCTATTGCAACCTCAGTAACACACCAGGGATTGTTCTACTGCAGCCTCAGTAACACACCAAGGATTGTTCTACTGCAGCCTCAGTAACACACCAGGGATTGTTCTACTGCAGCCTCAGTAACACACCAGGGATTGTTCTACTGCATCCTCAGTAACACACCAGGGATTGTTCTACTGCATCCTCAGTAACACACCAGGGATTGTTCTACTGCATCCTCAGTAACACACCAAGGATTGTTCTACTGCAACCTCAGTAACACACCTGGGATTGTTCTACTGCAACCTCAGTAACACACCAAGGATTGTTCTACTGCAGCCTCAGTAACACACCAGGGATTGTTCTACTGCATCCTCAGTAACACACCAGGGATTGTTCTACTGCATCCTCAGTAACACACCAAGGATTGTTCTACTGCAACCTCAGTAACACACCTGGGATTGTTCTACTGCAACCTCAGTAACACACCAGGGATTGTTCTACTGCAACCTCAGTAACACACCAGGGATTGTTCTACTGCATCCTCAGTAACACACCAGGGATTGTTCTACTGCAGCCTCAGTAACACACCAGGGATTGTTCTACTGCATCCTCAGTAACACACCAGGGATTGTTCTACTGCAGCCTCAGTAACACACCAGGGATTGTTCTACTGCAGCCTCAGTAACACACCAGGGATTGTTCTACTGCAACCTCAGTAACACACCTGGGATTGTTCTACTGCAACCTCAGTAACACACCAAGGATTGTTCTACTGCATCCTCAGTAACACACCAAGGATTGTTCTACTGCATCCTCAGTAACACACCAAGGATTGTTCTACTGCATCCTCAGTAACACACCAGGGATTGTTCTACTGCAGCCTCAGTAACACACCCGAGGTTGGTTGCTCAACTTCGTGTGTAAACCTCGCTCATTTGGAATGAGGAGAAGAGCAACAATCTCACTGTCAATTGTTTTTGTTTACATGGGAAAGTGTAAGTTACTAAATGCACAAATTCTCAAATTAACTACTTTGTCACTGTCATGATATATTATTAATGGGAGATAATGAGGTTTGCTTCCAGAAAAGGGATGGTAGCTCTAATTTCTTGGATCAAGAACCTTCAACAGCATCTAGACATCCCCCCTTGAAGATCAGTACAGCATCTCCTCACTTAGCGATGTACGTACTCGTTTACAGACGACTCAGATTTACGACAGGCTCTCTGACCGGTATGCATACCTAAATAATGTATATTAGACTGATTTCCTCTATTCTATTTATTACAATATACAGTACACTGCTGCATAAACATTTAAAAATATACCAGAAATGTTATAAATGGTGCAAAGGTGACATTAAAACAATATCAAAGATGGTTGACACAAACTCACTACCATTATAGTATGCTCCTCACTTAGCGACAAATTCGTTTACTGATGTGGTTTTAGGAATGGAACTCTATTGTTAAGTGAGAAGAGGCTGTACATAATTCATCCCACAAGGATGAGAGGAATTACAGTTAATTTGAAACAGGCAGAGTCGGTGCTCTCTTTAGTTAAACTAGTGATAGTTTCAGATTGTGTACAGTTATACTATATAGTTACAATATACAATTACACTGAACAGTTATACTGTTTCAGACATGACAACATACACAAGTCAAAGATGCTTCCTTGTAGGCCAATATATTTTCTTATAGAGCACAGTCCCCATCCCTTTATCCAAAATTCTGAAATTCGAAAAGTTACGAAAACCGAAGTTTTTTCGCGGAGGTGTATAAATGAAAAACAGAAATTAAAAAAGGGTAATGTCAATAGTGTGCTAAAAATATCTAGTCTAGCCTAGACCTGACTAGCTTGTGCTACTAGGTCAGATGCCGTGCTCCTTCCTTGGTTGGATAAACATGTTAGGTTGGATAAACACATGAGTGAGAGGGGTTGGATTTGAGTGGGACTTGCACATGAGTAAATAGAATTATAAGAACATAAGAATGGAGAAAAAAACAAAAGCCTGTAATTATTTTACATGATGGTAGGATTGCTGGTGTCCTTTTTTTCTGTCTCATGAACATGCAAGATTTCAGGTACGTCTTGCTACTTCTACTTACACTTAGGTCACACTACACATACATGTACAAGCACATATATACACACCCCTCTGGGTTTTCTTCTATTTTCTTTCTAGTTCTTGTTCTTGTTTATTTCCTCTTATCTCCATGGGGAAGTGGAACAAAATTCTTCCTCCGTAAGCCATGCGCGTTGTAAGAGGCGACTAAAATGCCGGGAGAAAGGGGCTGGTAACCTCTTCTGCTGTATGTATTACATAAATGTAAAAGGAGAAACTTTCGTTTTTCCTTTTGGGCCACCCCGCCTCGGTGGGATACGGCCGGTGTGTTGAAAGAAAGAAGAAGAATGGAGAAATACTGCAGAAGGCCTACTGGTCCACACAAGGCAGGTCCTTATCAAAAGCACCACTACCAAAAGCTATCCAAGAATTTACTCCTGTACCTAGTCAGGTCAGGTCACATTCACTTAAGAACATAAGAAAATGGAACACTGTAGCAGGTCTGTTGGCCCATACTAGGCAAGTCCTTCACAATTCATCCCACTAACAAAATATTTGCCTAATCCAATTTTCAATGTTACCAAAGCAATAAGCTTTTCTGACCAGGAATTGAGTTTGTCTAAATCCTCCTGAAGTTCTATGACATCTACATCTGCCCTAGACCCTATCTTCATTCTGAAATTCGAAAAATTCTGATATTTGAAACACTGCTGGCCCCAAGGGTTTTGGATAAAGGGATGGGGATTGTACCAGGGTTTCCAGCTGTGTTAGGTACAGAGAAACTGTGTGAGATATGACAGTACAGTGGTCCCTTGAGTTACAATGGGCTTTAGTTATGATAATTTTGAGTTACGACTTACCCTCATAAAGGAATTTAGTTTTGAGTTGCGATGAAAAATTTGAGATACAACATGTGTATGAAGGTTGGTAGGCATCAGTAGACCTCAGCCCATAGCAAAGACAGTGTAGTGATGGTGGAGGGTGTTGGAGGTGAGTGAGTGGGAAGGGTGGTGGTGGGTTTGGGAGTGAGGAAGGGTAGAAGGGAAGAAGACAGGCTGAGGCGGGAAGGAGAGTGCATGTGTACCATACGTGGACGGTGGGAGAAAGTGACAACTATAAATATCAAGTCTACAATTCTTTATCAATCTCTGACTGCCTCTTTGCCTAGGCATAAGCCTATGAAAGAGAGGCTTACTCTGCTGTTGGGTGCCAATGCCTCTGGAGATTTCAAGCTGAAGCCTATGCTTGTTTATCATTCAGAAACCCCCAGAGTGTTGAAATAACAAAGTAACCAAGTGCAGGTTGGATTGTGTTCTGGCAGCTTGGAGTAAAGTAACATAAAACCATGTACATTGGAGGTTTGAGTTATGATACGTCTTCTGGAACAGATTAACATTGTAACTCAAGGGATCATGGATACATGAGCTCTGATCTTGTATATAACAAAATAATTTATCACAATTCTTAATCTCAAGTTCCCAAAGGCCTACCTTCAATATATGAGTATAAGCTGCTCCCATCATATGACGAGATGCATCGGTGGCAGACGCTCGTTGCTTCTCTCCTGCAACACATTGCATCTTTAACAATATACTCTACTGTGCTATTAAAAATTTCTAAAATTTATTCAGAATTATTAAAAGTTTATAAAAACTGCTTGATACATAAAAAAATATGACTGCTTGTTATGAGGTTATTCATTTGATGAGTTCAAGACTGCGGCAAGATGAAGGCCTAGAAGTTTAACGTCGAACTACGTCACTGAGGTCACGATCGCTCATGCAGTTCTACATCATGAGCTCAGCTCACTCAGATACTGTGAAGTATAAATTTTTGCCTAGATATGAGAGAAAGGGTCCTGCTATGAGTATGCACAGTATAAAAAAAAATCTTTCCCCACTGCAGTGCACGATGGAGAAAAGCAAATCTGAGGTATTTTCTAGGATGGTTTATATGGTTTCACTGGATGTTGCTTGGTATCAATTGGTAGAACAGACACCCTACTACTGATATAGAGATGATTTTGGCTGATTTTAGAACCAGAAATAGCTCTAAATCAGACTCAAAGTAAAGGAAAAATTAGATTTTTTATATTTTTTATGAGGACAAGCCCTCCCTTTATACAAAGCCTGATTCAATGAATGGGATGCCCTAAATCATGACCAATCATTCCTGATTATATTTCATTAATCTGAGAAATTAAGTAAAACTTTGATTTTTTGTGATAATGATGAATTCAAATGGAGGGGAAGTGTAATATAGGAGAGGCCTGGAGATGTGATTAATGAACACGAGAAATGCTGCTTTAGTAAAACTGGCTAAATTACTGACTTCTATGCACTTAATATGGTAGTTCTGATAGAAGGCACACTAACAAAATTGCTAAGAATTTGATCAAATTAGGCAATGTAATTGGCTTAAAGCAGGACACAAAGTAGGCAAAATTGCAGTTTCTTGAACTCAATCAACATAATGGAAGATATATTAGTGATACAGATAGGAATTGGGTTGAAGCAAGTAATGGAACTGGCTTAAAATATGACTCAAATTTTGCAAAATAGCTGATGCGTAAACTGCACTCAGACTACCTACTTCGTGCCTGAGTAATTTCCAAGTTTTATGCAAAGTTTCACATTTTTGGTGTCATTACCTTTGGAAAAAGATTTTCTACCATTTCATATATTAAAAAAAAAAAAAAGTCATGACATTGTCATTTAATTTTAGGGCTGCAACAGTGAAAGGGTTAATCAAGCATGACAAAAAAAAAAAAACAACAACAACACAAGTTCCACGAAAATTGAATATTAAAAAACCTTCATGAATAGGAAAAATTCCAGTGGTTATGGTACTTAACCTAAAACACTGTTAGACCAGTCTTTTGTTGAAATTTTTCTAGCATCTTTTTGGCTGTTTTTCCTAGTATATATAAACTCTTGTTCTCCCATCTCACAGGACATGATTTTTTTGTTTTTTTTGCATCCTTTAATAATTTTGTCTCTCTAGTTATCATGTCTCTCTTTTCTAAGAGTCAGTGAAAGAGTCTTTTATTAATTCTTATTTCTAAACTCTAAAAGCCACACTGTCTATCTTATCCCAAGTCTTTCAGACACCATACCACCACTGTATAATACACTATGTGGTGAACAGCAATTTTTAACAAGTTTCCATCCATTTATTGAAAGGGTATTCTAAACATAACCAGTGTAGATAGTTTCTCATCCAATATCCTCAAATACCCTTAGGAACTTTTCAGAGAAATTGTGGTGTTCATTTTAGCACTCAACACAGTAACAAGTAACCTCATAAAGTCTTAACAAATACATGATCAATTAACCCAAACTTATTAAAACTTGATTACCATTGGGGAGAGATTGCTGAACATAAAATCGAATATTTGTTTTATTTGGGACTTCAGCAGCGAAGATTTCATCAATGACTACTTCAGCGCCACCGAATATCGGAGTCAGCGTAGAAATAATCTGCTGCTTATGAGGCCTGGAAAGTAGAAACAGTGAGAAATAAAAAGTGAACTACCCAGTGTTGTCTTATACAGGAATACCTTGTTAATACGGCGCTCACTTCAGAGTGCTTCGCTAATATGGCGCTTTTCAATTTTTTTTAATACATTGGCCATTTCCCATAGAGGCAGCATTACCCAAAAAGAAAGAAAAAAAACTTTCATCATTCAACACTTTTACCATCATTCATACATAATCAGTGTCTTTGTAGAGGTGCTCAGATATGACAGTTTAGATGTCACTCCAAACTGCCAATATCCCAAACCACTCCTTTAAAATGCAGGCATTGTACTTCCCATCTCCAGGACTCAAGTCCACTAACCAGTTTCCATGAATCCCTTCACAAAATATTACCCTGCTCACACTCCAACAGCTCGTCAGGTTCCAAAAACCATTCATCTCCATTCACTTATATCTAACACTCTCATACATCTTGCTGGAAGTCAATTATATACATGTTTATTATTTTTGGCACTTGCCTTGCTCTTAAGATGGTTTTTGGCAGTTTTCAATTTTTTTATTTATTATTTTAACTTTTGCATCGTTCCTTATAGCCTAGTGCTACTGCACACTTAATATATCTTTCTTTCAATGCACCAGCCATATCCCACTGAGGTGGGGTGGCCCAAAAGGAAAAACAGAAGTTTCTCCTTTTAAATTTAGTAATATATAATAACATATATACATGTGTGTCTTACGACACACATGGCTTACGGAGGAAGAATTCTGTTCCACTTCCCCATGGAGGTAAGAGGAAATAAACAAGAACAAGAACTAGAAAGAAAATAGCAGAAAACCCAGAAGGGTGCGTATGTATATGCTTGTATATGTATGTGTAGTGTAGAAGAAGAAGTAGCAAGACGTACCTGAAATCTTGCATGTTTATGAGACAGAAAAAAGGACACCAGCAATCCTACCATCATGTAAAACAATTACAGGTTTCCGTTTTACACTCACTTGGCAGGACGGTAGTACCTCCCTGGGCGGTTGCTGTCTACCAACCTACTACCTATAACTTAATAAATGATAGTGTAAATATGTTTTTAGGATTTTATATGCACTGGCAAGTGAAAAAAAAAGGCTTTGATTCATTTTAAGGTGATATTCGCATCATGGCAGTGGTCTGGAACCTAACCCGCCATATTAGTAAGATATGCTTGTATTGATCTGCAATAGGTGGTAGGTGGTTTGGCCATTTAGAGGATGGAGCAAAACAGGATGATTGGAGAGTGTATAAATCTGTAGTGGAGGGGAGGACGGGTAGGGGGTCATCCTTGGAAAGGATGGAGGGAGAGGGTAAAAGAGGTCTTGTGAGCAAGGGGCTTGGACATACAGCAGGTATATGTGAGCATGTTAGATAGGAGTGAACAGAGGTGAATGATTTTTGGGACTAGACAAGCTGCTGGAGTTTTAGCAGGGTAATATTTTGTTAAGGAATTTGGGGAAACCAGTCAGCCAGACTTAGAGTCCTGTAGGTGGGAAATACAATGCCTGCACTTTAAAGGAGGAATTTGGGATAATGGCAGTTTGGAGTGACATCTAAACTGTTGTATCTGGGCACCTCTGCAAAGACAGTGATTAGGTGTGAATGATGGTGAAAGTGTTTCTTTTGCTTTTTGGGTCACCCTGCTTCGGTGGGAGATAGCTAACGTATTGGGAAAAAAGGAAACATACAAGTACAGAAAGAAAAAGCAACTACAAGCATGAGATACAAATTTTTCAAATGCATCAATAATTTATTACCAAGAAAGTAACCCCCTCCAAAAAAAAACATGCTTTGTAGAGATCAAGCCAAACTAAGAATATGCAGTTCCCAAACCACTCTCTTTTCTGATCTCAGTTTAGTGTATATCTCTGCATGTACAGTAAGTCACAAGCTACCAGTGTTCCATAAAGAGTTTAGTACAATACTTTCTACGTATTTCATAAATTACTTTCTTGTAATTGTTTCCAGCAGATGTGGGACATTATTCTGCAGTTCAAAGTTTCTTGTTTGCTTGTCACCTTTTTTGTATAATTAACAAATTCTTACACCAAGAGTGATAAGTGAGTGTGAATATGAGTATGAGTGAGTGTGTGTGTGTGTGTGTGTGTTGGGGGATAGGAGATTTGAATGCTGCTTGAGGATAGGTTGGAATACTGAAATAAAATTTGCTCTCTTCCAGTCATCTGATATTTTGAATGGGTTGGAGAGCTTTTCACTATCTCTTTAATATATGTGGTGATATTTCGTCTAATCCTGATGCACTTTGTGTGTGAAGGAGTCTCCTCATATTCTTGTTACTCATGTAATATGAGTGTCATCTTCCTTAGAATTCCTGTAAAGGTACTTCTCTGATGCATGCAATATATTACTGAACTCTAAGATTTGCTTACTATATATCTTGAGGTTTTCCCTCGAGTGTCAAAAGTAACATAGTATAAATGATGATTTACAGGCACTACTTCACTATATTATTAAGACATGTCCTGTCTAACAGGACATGTCTGAAAGTGTGAAACAGTCATGAACAAGAGCATCAAGGTCTCTGTGAAAGATTAACTTACTCTACTTCTGCTAGGGCCTTTTCAATGGTGACCTGCACAATGCCATTCTCATTATGGTAGTTCGGGATCCTGGCATAGCATACAACTTTAAAGCGGCAGTAGGGATTTTCAGGTGTGAACTCAACTGGCAGCATGTTAGGAGCATAGTAACCTGCAAGACACATCAAGGTTTCAAAATGTTTAATTACTATTGCAATGTTATCAAATTTACTTCAATGATTATAATTAATTGCTGAAAATAACAGACTTGACCAAAAATGTTTATTACAAAAATCAAGGCTTCAAAACTCTTATTTCAACAGAGCTCTCCATGGAGCTTCTAGTTTAAAAACCTAAGATTTTTAGAAAATAAGTTAAGGTGTGGAAGAGCACTACAGAAATGAGTTGTTCAACCATACAATAGCCAGCCACCCATATACTGCACAGCCACTTTCCTTCTAGCCTGTCTACTGACCCATGCAACTATACTTCAGTATGATAAGGCTTTCAGGTAGTTTTTAGAGAGTTTTTTCTTCAGCCACTGAAGCCTTAGACAACAAAATGTCTGGCCAGAACAGTAATTCTGCATCAGTTACTCATGCTGGTGTAACATGTCTGAAGAATACTCAACACATTATAGTCAACCCTCAACTAACGGCAGTATTAAGTAACGGCAATTTCGTCTAACAGTGCTTTTTGCCGTAAAAAACATGCCTTAACCAATGGTGAAAAACTTAACCAACGACGTTCGTCTGGAACGTGTTTCCAGTGCTTGTAACAGCTAAATAAGCCACCATGGGTCCCAAGAAAGCTTCTGGAGCCAGCCCTTTGGTAAAGGATGTGAGAAACACTATAGAATTCAAGAAAAAGATTGTAGAAAAATACAAAAATGGTGGTGGTAGAGGGTGGTAGTGATGGTGGTAGTGAAGGTGGTAGAGGGTGGTGGTGATGGTGGTAGAGGGTGGTACTGGTTGTGATGGTGGTAGAGGGTGGTAGTGATGGAGGTAGAGGGTTGTACTGGTTGTGATGGTGGTAGAGGGTTGGTACTGGTTGTGATGGTGGTAGAGGGTGGTACTGGTTGTGATGGTGGTAGAGGATGGTACTGGTTGTGATGGTGGTAGAGGGTGGTACTGGTTGTGATGATGGTAGAGGGTGGCACTGGTTGTGATGGTGGTAGAGGGTGGTAGCAATGGTGGTAGAGGGTGGTAGCAATGGTGGTAGAGGGTGGTAGTGATGGTGGTAGAGGGTGGTAGTGATGGTGGTAGAGAGTGGTAGTGGTTGTGATGGTGGTAGAAGGTGGTACTGGTTATGATGGTGGTAGAGGGTGGTAGTAATTGTGGTAGTGGTTGTGATGGTGGTAGAGGGTTGTAGTGGTTGTGATGGTGGTAGAGGGTGGTACTGGTTGTGATGGTGGTAGAGGGTGGTAGTGGTTGTGATGGTGGTAGAGGGTGGTACTGGTTGTGATGGTGGTACTGGTAGTGATGGTGGTAGAGGGTGGTACTGGTGGTAGAGGGTGGTCCAGTGATTCTCAAGCTGGTCCTAGTGGCATTAAAAAACCAAGAAGGGATTTAACCCCACCAAAGGACTTGGTACCTGAAGTCTTCATGGAAGAGGATTCTCCTTCCAAGCAATAGACAATCCTGAATTTCTCCTGCTGCTGGCACATCACTCATCAACAACTCCACAATAAAGGTAAGTGGCATTTAATTACTGTTTATTTTGCATGTCCCATTCCTTTCCATATAAGGAAATGTATATTTCATGTAATTTTTTTTTTTTCAGACTTTGGGGTGTCAGGAACGGATTAATTCTATTTCCATTATTTCATAAGGGGAAAATTAACTCGACCAACGGCAAGCCCTCTGGAACGGATTAAAGCTGTTGGTTGAGGTCCACTGTACTTCTCAATATGTATGTACATAACATCTGCTCTCCAACTCTTCATCCTTTTTCAAATACTAAATCATCTCAGCAACCTCTCTTCCACAGTATCTTCTAATGTTTTCACTCTTTATACTCTATTCAGTATTTGCACAATACATTGATCTTATACACATCTCAATCCCTCCAGTCTCCTCAATACAATGCCTTGCACCCATATAAAAGTGTTGACACCATTATACTCTCGGTATTACGTTTTTTAACACTTCAGCTGATGCTCTGAACACATACACATCCTGAAGTCTGCTCATTAACCTTTTATCTACTAATACATATTCCAGCAAACTGGTGTCATCATGTTCTATTTCATATCTCATATACAATGTACTTATTTATCCTCTTTTTCTTAAAAAAATATTACTTATCACTAAACCTCTTTCTGTACACACTTCAATTAGACACTCCCATTATCATTTGCTGTGGGCATTCCAAACTTACCTACTACATCCTCTACAACATTTTCTCCCACTTAGTATATTCCTCCTTTGTTGCTTCCACTGATGTTTTTTCTTTCCTCAAGACCCTAGCTACCCTCCTTCCTTTATCCATTCTATCATTTACCTCACCATTCATAAAGTCATCTACTAACACATTCACTCCCAACCATAGAAATGGATTCCCTTCCTCCATAATCACTTCCTCTAATCTGATATGAAAATTATTTACCTAAGTTTCTTCTTTCTCTTATTACCTTATTCTTTATTTTTCATGAAACTATTTCTACTACTACTATTATTATATTTTTTAACACAGGCAGTCTCCCACTGAGGCAGGGTGACCCGAAAAAGAAGAAACAAGTTTTTCTTCTTTTTACACTTAGTAATTTATAAAGAAGGGATTACTAGCCCCTTGCTCCTGGCATTTTAGTTGCCTCTTACAAAGGAAGGATTCTTCTCCACTTCCCCATGGTGTATTATTATGAGAGGTAGTAGGTTGGTAAATAGCAACCATCCAGGGAGGTACTACCGTCCTGCCAAGTGAGTGTAAAACGGAAGCCTGTAATTGTTTTACATGACTGTAGGATTGCTGGTGCCTTTTTTTCCTATCTCATGAACATGCAAGATTTCAGGTACGTCTTGCTACTTCTGCTTACACTTAGGTCACACTGCACAGATGTGTACAAGCATATACGTATATACACATACCCCTCAGGGGTTTCTTCTATTTTCTTACCAGTTCTTGTTCTTGTTTATTTCCTCTTATCTCCATGGGGAAGTGGAACAGAATTCTTTCTCTGTAAGTCATGCGGGTCGTAAGAGGTGACTAATATGCTGGAAGCAAGGGGCTAGTAACCCCTTTCTTGTGTACATTACTAAAGTTAAAAAGAGAAACTTTTGTTTTTCTTTTTGGGCCACCCTACTTTGGTGAGATCAGCCCATTTGTTGAAAGATTATTATAATTATTCTTTCAACAAAATGGCCATATCCCACCAAGGCAGGGTGGCCCAAGAAGAAAAACGAAAGTTTAGCTTTTTAAGTTTAGTAATACATGCAGGAGAAGGGGTTACTAGCCCCTTGCTCCCGGCATTTTAGTAGCCTCTTTTGGAGGAAGGATTCTTCTCCACTTCCTTATGGTGTATTATTATTATTATTAACCACTTTTTGGTATATTTTTACAATAAGACAAATGTTATCTACTCACAAAATACCCTCTGACTATGCCGTACACTTTGTCACATCTCCCAGGTGGGTCCACTTGACTTATTAAATTACACAAATTTAATTAATAGCTTGCTTTAAGTTTTTTGATAAACATTTTAAAAGTTAATACAGTAACTTACCTTTCCCAGCACCCCAGAATGCTTGAAGTTGATTCCACTTACGCAGGACCTCATCATTTTCATTATTGAAGTAGGAAGGTGTACATATAGCAAGATGTAGAGCAAGGGAAGGATCTGGCTGTCCTAGTACTGCCTGCTGCTGACAAACATCTGCAAAATATAAGACCCTTGTTAAGAATGTTTACAAAATTATTATCGTCTAAAATTCTATATAAGAGTGGTGTTTGCAAAAAACTATGGCAGCTATGACATTTGTGCATGAATACATTTCTTCCAAGCTTAGTGTACTATACCACCAGTAAAGCATTATTACACAACTTACAACACTTCTTCCAAGCACTGTGCACTACACCAGCACTTCAGGCACCACAGTGCAGAACACTGTAATAACTGTTTCACACTTATACATGCAAAGTGATGATGATCCTGTAATTCTGGTCACACAACAGTTTCAAGAAAACATGCACATATACAATGAATAAGCTTACATACAAGGTAAACAGAATCATCATAACCACTTCAAAGGGATCGTGTTAGTAAAAGTTGACTTAACCCTTTCATGGTCTCTCATGTAAATCTACGTCACTGAGGCCAGCGTCACTCGCATAGATATAAGTCTTATTCATAGCACACTTAACTAAACTGTGAGTGGTAAATTTTGGCCCAAGCATGAGAGAATGGGTTTATGCAGTGAGTGTGCACTGTATAAAAAAAAACTGTGTCCCATGCAGTGCATGATGACCACAGAGAACTTCTGACTTTGTGTTTGGATTAAAACAGTGACTTTGGAGCATTTCTAGGCTGATTTTTATGGGGTTATTGGCTGTTTCTTAGTGTCAATGTGTCAACTGACAGACTGGAACACATACTAGAGAAATGGAGTTAACTTTGATCAGCCTCAAAGTAGCAGAAATATTAGATTTTTTAGATTTTCCTAAGGAAGGTTAAAACTGCAAATATCTCCACCCCTTCTTCAGAGTGCAGGCACTGTACAGTATTATGCTGGCATTAACTTTTCATCCGGGCATTTTTACCCCAACCAACGGACACTTGATCAGTTTGTTCTATGAAAGCAAAATGATGTTAAATCTAAACCTAAAATTAGTACATACATACCTGATGGTTGAGTTCCAAATGCTGAAGATGTTTTTGTTCTGAAAATATAAATATTCAGTCTCATTCTAAAGTAAAGAATTTTCATGGATGTCCAATAATTATGAAAATTGTGGGTCAATATGGATATCTAACTCATGTGCAGCAGATCCCGGTTACAATCACTACAACCCACAACAAAAGCAGGGCAAAACTGGTAAAGGAAGGAAGGGGGGAGGAAGGTGTCTGGGATCTACTAATCATGAGTGAGATTCCTACACAAATCCTCACTTTTCATAATGTTTCATTAATAATACATGAAAACCAAAGTTCACTATGTTACAAGTTGAGCAATTTATGACATTTGAGATCCACACAGCTGCTAATTTCTTTATGAATCTGTGGCAGTATTATCTCCAATAAAGAGACAAGCACCTCATGAGTAATATTTTCCAAGCATAAGTCTCATGCCTATGTGAGTGGCTTCCACTTAAGTTCCCTTAATACACTCCTTAAAACTGAATATACACATTTTTATCAATCTATCTATAGCAGAATCCATATTATACATACAGTGGACCCTCAAATTTAGTACAAAACTATTTTTATTATCTATAAAATGTATGTTTTGTTAATATTTCCCATAGGAAATAATGTAAAACCAATTAAACCATTCCAGACACCCAAAAATATTAACAAACAATAAATTTTATAGATAATAAAAATAGTTTTGCATACATAAAAGGCACTACTAAATTCGAGGGTCCACTGTACATGCTTATGCAAGTGTTCACATGTTAGTTTCACTGAACTAAGAGGACAGAATGGAAACAAAATTAAATCTTGCAGCACTGGAGAAATAATGGACAAAGAAATTGGCAATGTATGTTAATGATTCTGCAAGTCATCACCAGTGATCCAGTCTCACAGCAGGTCTCTAGAATGACAAAAAATATACTTAAAGAATATGAACATTTGAGAAATAAACAGGGAAGGAAATGTAAGTGTGTCTCAGTGTAAGAAATAATTTCTTATTGTTTACCTGCCATCTTTAATGTTCTTGAGACAAAAAAAGCGGCAACCCTACCAGAGTGCAAAACAGTTAAGAGACAAACCATACCATGGGTGGGGATAGAACCCGTGATCTGAGAGTCTCAAAACTCCAGACCGTTGTGTTAGCCACTGGATGGTCTAGAGTTTTGAGACTCTCTGATCGCAGGTTCTATCCCTGCCCGTGGTATGGTTTGTTTGCAATCGTGTCATTAAGATTTCGTGAGTCAAGTTAAGAGACAAGTTCACTCCCAAATATCTGAACACTTTACTTCCTCCATAATTGATCCATCCAATCTAATATCCAGTCTTTCACTGCCTATATTTTTGATGTTCTCATCACCTTGCTCTTTCCTATGTTTACTTTTAATTTAATTCTTTTCCAAACCCTCCCAAATTTCTCAACCTTAGCAGCTTCTCTTTCAAATCTCCTAAAAATAACATTGTTATCAGCAAAAAAGCAACTGTGAAAACTTGCATTCCTTACCAGATTCACTGTCTTCCACTCTCACACCTCTACCTAAAACCCTAGCATCACACATCCCTGTCTAAGGCCTATTACTACTGGAAATAATCTCCCTCTCTTCAACATATGCTAACTTGAGCCTCACTATCCCCACAGGTGTAAACATCCTGTGCTTGTAGATAGATGGTTCAGAGAACCAATAAGTTGATAAATTAGACACATGTGCAACACTTGGGTATCTTTATTGAGGAAACATTTTGCTACACAGTGGCTTCATCAGTCCATACAAAGGAGAATGGTGAAGAACAGAAGTAGTTTGAGGTAATCAGTCCCTCAGCCTTGAGTCGAAGAAATCAGTCCCTCAATATTGAAAAGAATACAGCATATATGGGAAGAAGTGTAGACAGGTGAGATGAAGCAGTCGTAGGTGGTATCACACTTGACAAATCAAAATGTGGAAGTAGGTCATGCCTAACGGTTTGTCAAGTGTGATACCACTTACAACTGCTTCACCTCACCTGTCTACAGCATATAAGCCACTTCTTAACACATATGCTGTATTCTTTTCAAGATTGATAGACTGATTACATTGACTCAAGGCTGAGGGACTGATTACCTCAAACTCCTTCTGTTCTTCACCATTCTCCTTTGTATGGACTGATGAAGCCACTGTGTGGCAAAACATTTCCTCAATAAAGATACCCAAGTGTTGCACACATGTCTAATTTATCATCCTGTGTTTGGTCAGGTATGTGATACAGCCGCTTATAGATTACTTTCCTGAATATTTTTTACAGTATTGGTCGATTAACAGATTGGCCGGTAGTTATTAACACGATCTGAATTACAATATTTGTGGATGTGTGTTATCCTGGCTCTCTTGAGCCAGGTTTGATCCTCAAGTGATTTGATGAAAAGTACTATAGAATGAAATATTGCAAAACAAACTGTTAAAAACAGTGAATAAAAAGAGAGACCTAGAAATCATCATTAACAAAAGAATTACACTGGATAATCATATACAGAAGGGCCGCCCTGCATATACAGTATACATAAAATATTAAAGTGAGAAACTACTATGCTACATTGGCCAACTTTAAAATATATGAATTGGTAAAGGCTGATGAAGCTGATTATAATACACATAAAGAACAAGAAGGCACAATACCGTGACTGGAACAATACACAAATAATCCGCACATAGGAGAGAGAAGCTTACGACTTTGTAAATGGTCCAAGTCAGATTGAAATGTTGTTGTAAGCTTTACTATGTACAGGTTATCTGTGTATAATATACATAGACCAAAATTGGAATACATAGTGAAGGTATGTTGTTTGCATTTATAGTTCCATGCAAGAAAAGCTCTTACCCAAATCCTGAGCCTAGGAGACAGCCTCCTGAAGTGTTCCCGGTTGAAGTTCCAAATCCGAACGTTGGTTTGGCTGCTTGGTTGGCATTTGTCCCGAAGCTGAAGCCTACAAAAATAGTAAAATAAAATAAGGAAAATGTGAACATTTAGAATTCAAAACTAAATATAATTTTGTTTGAACAGTATAATACTGAACGGTTGTAGCTGCACGCCTCTAGCAGGATGGTGATAGTGTGAATGATAGTGAAAGTGCTTCTTTTTCAGGTCAACCTGTCTTGGTGGGAGATGGCCAGGTGGAATAGGTGCTAAGTAACTAGAGGCAGTAAGGAGTGTTTAGGTGCAAAGTGAGGCTCAGGATAGGGTACACAGAAAGAAAAGGGACTTATTTCCTGGTAAAAGAAGGCCTTAGACAAAGATGTTAATAGACAAAATATTAATAGATGGGGTTGTAAAAGAAGTGAATACTAGGGTGTTGGCAAGATATATGAGATTAACCCTTTCACTGTCCATCACATAGATCTACATTATTGATGCCAAGGTCTGTCATGTAGACCTACATCATGAGCTCAAGTCACTCAGATAAGCTGTGAGTAGTAACTTTGGGTCTAAATTTGAGAGAATTGATCTGTATGGTGAGTGCGTATAATATAAAATATTTGATTCTTGCTGAGTTTTCCTGAAGATGGGTAAGGCCTTTTCCCTTACACCCTCTGGTCTGTTTTTCAATAGGTCTGATTCAGTTATAGGGACACCATGAATCATGAGCAATCATTGTCATTTATACAGTATTTTATCCAAGAAATAGAGTAAATCTTCTAGTTTCTGTGTGAAGATGAATAAAAGATGAAAGGCAAGTGTAATGTAAGAAAGGCCTGGAAACATGGCTAATAAACAGAAGAAATGTTGTTTTAGTGCCTGGAATGTCTACAGGGTTTATTTTGGACTCTGTAAATTGAAATTTTTTGAATGTTGTGTAAAACTGGCCAAATTACCCAATTCTGTGCACTCTATAGGGTAGTTTTGATAGTTGAATGGGTGCTTTCTTTGCTCAATCGATAGAACAGAAGGCATACTAGTGATATAGCTAAGATTTTGATTGAATTCAGCACTGGAACTGGCTTAAAATATGACTCAGTTGGTGAAATTTACTTGATCTAGACGATCCTTAACCTGAACCAAGTAGGGTTAAAATAAAGCCTTTATCGTTTATCACACACACGTTCTCCCTGTCTGTCTGTCTCTTCAGCCATTAGCAGTGAAGATTTTCCATCAGGGCTTTCAGCAGCCATACCTGGATGTGGAAAGTTGATGGGGATCATTGTGGGTCTACCTGGAGGCCATTCCAAGGGCCAACACCCTGGCAGCCCAGTCCTTGGCAGGTAAAAAGAAATAATTTCCTCATCCTCTTTCTTGGAACAGAAATCTTGACAAGAGGTGTCACAGATAGTAAGTTAAAATAACTGCTGTAAGATCATCATCTAGCAGCACTGAGTGATCTCTTGATATATTAACTTGTCCTTAAGAATAATTCCTTTCCTCATTATAATTTTGGTCCAGGATGTAAACTTCCACCACCAGATCAAACTAGACAGTGTCTTATTACCATAAGGTCTTTGTGTTAAACAAAACTTGATGAAGAATTAGACACATGTGCAACATCTGTGTATCTTTATTGTAGACGTTTTGCCATCCAGTGGCTTTATCAATACAATTCAAGGACATAATGGGAAGATGGTAGAAATATATACAAAAGATGAGGTAATCAAGTCCCAGAGTCTCTCAGACTCTCCAGGACTATTGTGATCTTTACCAACTCCAAGGTTGAGGTACTGATTACATCATCTTTTGTATATAGTTCTACTATCTTCCAATTATGTCCTTGAATTTGTATTGATAATGCCACTGGATGATGAGATGTCTACAACAAAGATACCAAGATGTTCAACGTGTCTAATTCTTCATCTTGTCGATAATGTATGTCATACCTTTACAACAAACAAAACTTGTAACTAGCATCATCAACCAGGCTTCCAGAGAATACAGGTCTATTACAGATCCTGGAAATATATAGTCATATACGAAAAGTGCAAACTACTATCAGAAGCCTGAAAAATATGAACTGTCTAGTAGATGATGGTTGTTAAAAAACAAAAAGGCACAATACCATGACTGGAACAACATGCAAATAACCCACAAATAGGTATGAAAGTACAGTAGTACCAACACTCTTATATGGGTGTGAAGCTTGGGTTGTGAATGCAGCAGCAAGGAGGCTGTTGGAGGCAGTGGAGATGTCCTGTCTAAGGGCAATGTGTGGTGTAAACATTATGCAGAAAATTCGGAGTGTGGAAATTAGGAGAAGGTGTGGAGTTAATAAAAGTATTAGTCAGAGGGCAGAAGAGGGGTTGTTGAGGTGGTTTGGTCATTTAGAGAGAATGGATCAAAGTAGAATGACATGGAGAGCATTTAAATCTGTAGGAGAAGGAAGGCGGGGTAGGTGTTGTCCTCGAAAAGGTTGGAAGGAAGGGGTAAGGGACGTTTTCTGGGCGAGGGGCTTGGACTTCCAGCAGGCGTGCATGAGCGTGTTCGATAGGAGTGAATGGAGACGAATGGTATTTGGGACCTGACGATCTGTTGGAGTGTGAGCAGGGTAATATTTAGTGAAGGGATTCAGAGAAACCAGTTATTTTTATATAGCCGGACTTGAGTCCTGGAAATGGGAAGTACAATGCCTGCACTCTAAAGGAGGGGTTTTGGGATATTAGCAGTTTGGAGGGATATGTTGTGTATCTTTATATGTATATGCTTCTAAACTGTTGTGTTCTGAGCACCTCTGCAAAAACAGTGATTATGTGTGAGTGAGGTGAAAGTGTTGATGATGAAAGTATTTTCTTTTTGGGGATTTTCTTTCTTTTTGGGTCACCCTGCCTCGGTGGGAGACGGCCGACTTGTTGAAAAAAAAAAAAAAATTAGGAGAAAGAATCTTATGATGAAGTTTCGGTCCAGCTTGGACCATTAACTAGTCACACACTAATACATGAAAGTAAAGGAACCAATATACAGTTCTCCCTCAACATTCGCGAGGGTTAGGGGATCAAGAGCCTCGCGAATGTTGAAAAATCACGGATGTTTGGTGCCCCAAAATATTGTAGGGAAATATAATACAATACCGCTTTCTTAACTTGTTGAACCATGAACAATCATAAAATACATGAAAACGTCATAAATTGTACTAAATACATACATGTTATGGTTTAATAACTGTATGTTATTAAATACCACTGCCTCCACACTGCCTCCACCACTGCCTCCACCACTGCCTCCCCCAAATGCCTCCCCCCACTTTCTCAGCCACCCCGATTCCCTACTACCCTCCCTCCGACCCCGCAACTGGCACCCAGCCCTCCCACCACTGTGTGGTGAGTGTTTTGTTTTTTTCATTATTTGCTATTAAACTACAGTATAAATAATGTAAACACATTCATGACTGCACATTGGAATGGCTATTTGGACAGGGTAATTGGATGGTGACTTTAAAGTGTTTACTCTTGAACACAGCAAAAGAATCAAACATTTCTGCTAAATGCTAAATATGACAAAGTAATAATAATAATAATAAATGCGATAGAATTGAAGAAGGAAATTGTACAAAATACGAGGGAGTGGTTGACAATCGTCAATGTGGCTTTGTTTATGCGGGGAGTGAGCATTAGTCTCCGTGCTCTTTCAAACATTTCACAAAATTCACTGTGTTTGGTGCTTGTAGATTGAGTGCGACTGGAGTGGTAGAGGCCCGTGGTTGAGGAAGCGGGTTTAGGCAGTGGGTTTAGGCAGTGGGTTTAGGCAGTGGGTGAGCAGTGGGGGGAGGCAATGGTTGAGGCAGCGGTTGAGGCAGTGGTTGAGGCAGTGGTTGAGGCGTGGTAGAGGCAGCGGTTTTAGGCAGGGGTTGAGGCAGCGGTTGAGGTAATGGTGGAGGCAGCAGTTGAGGCAGTGGTATTTAATAACATGTTATAAATAATAATAATACATATTAACATTTATTATTATTATTATGTATGTTATTAACCCCTTCAGGGTCCAAGGCCCATATCTGAAGTGGTGCCCCAGTGTCCAAGAATTTTCAAAAAAAAAAATTTGTTATTTTTTCATATGAAATGGTAGAGAATCTTTTTGTGAAGGTAATAAAACAAAAAGTATGAAATTTGATGGAAAATTGACGAAATTAAGCTCTCGCGAATTTTGATGTGTCACCCGATATTTACGAATCGGCGATTTTCCCGACTTTGACTCCCATTTTAGGCCAATTACATTTTTCCCAGTCAACCAAATTCTTAGCTATTTCACTAGTATTACTTTATTCTATCGATTGAGCACAAGAAATCGCCAAGTCAACTGGGTTTTAAATACAAATTAAAGTGATCAGAAATTGTTAATTTGGCCAATTTAACACAAAGTTCAAAATATTCCAATTTCAAAATAGGGTCAGAATAAACAATGTAGTATTCCTGAAACTAAATAACATTTCCTTGTTCATTAGTTACGTTTTGAGGCTTTACAAATAAATTCCATTTTGATTTTTATTCACATAAAGAATTTTATTCACACCAAAAATAGAAGATTTACTGTTATGCAATACTGTAATAATTGTATAAATATCATCACCATATTTGTGAATGCATATTAGACCCACCAGTGTTGTGTATTAGACGTGTGAGGTCGTTTGTTTACTCCTGAATATCGGCAAAAAATTTAACATTTCTGTACTTTGAGCTCAGTTTCAAGCCATTTCCATTGCTAAAAACCAATCAAAATTTATCTCTATTTCTGTTTAAAATGTCCCTTTTATTCTATCAAATTTAGACCAAAAAAATTTTCAAAAAAGAACTTTTAAAAAAAAAAAAGAAAAAAAACGGGAAATCGCTGTTTCCATCGAAAAAAACATGATTTCAGTTTTTTCTCTCAAATTTTTAAAACCCGGTCGTTGGGAAACCTTTTTTTAGGGGGTTTCACAATTCCACATAGATGTTTTTTCTTCATATCTAGGCCCAAAGGTTTCCCCTCACGTTTATCAGAGTGAGCTGAGCTCATGCGGGAGATCTACGGTTTTTGGGCCCCGAACGTTTAAAAACCCTAGATTACGGGGGAAAACCCCCAAAGGGTTTTAAATTTCCCCTGGCCCCAAAACCCCTGCCCCATCCGCTGTCTCACCCAATGCCCCAAACCCGCTGCCCCCGCCAAAGCCTAAAAAAACTGCCCCAAAACCCCTGGTTTTTTCACCCATGGGCCCTTTTGCCCCCTGCCTCAACTTTTTTTGCCTCGCCCACTGCCTTCAGGGCCCCGGGCCCAACCGGCCCTTTCCCCAAACCACTTTCCCTCTACAAATCCAGTCGCACTCAAACTAAAAAGCACCAAAAAACAAGAATTATTGTTTTAAATGGTTTTTAAAAAGCCGGAGGGAAAAATGCTACCCGCATAAAACAAAGCCACAAAAAAATGGGGCGATTTTGTTTAACCATCCCTCGCATTTTTTTACAAATTTTCCCCTTTTTCAAAATTTATCGCATTTATTTTTATTATTTTTTTACTATTGTTAAAATTTTTTGCCCGTAAACAGAAATTTGGTTGTTTTTTGCTGTGTTCAAGAGTAAAACATGATGTCCAAACCCTCCAAAAACCCCGTCCAAAAAGGGCCCCCCCCAAAAAGCAGTCATGAATGGGTTTTTTTATTTTTACTGTAGTTTTAATAGCAAATAAAGAAAAAAACAAAACACTCGCCCACTGGTGGGGAGGGCTGGCTGCCGTTGCGGGGGGGCGGGGGGAGGGGGGTAGGGGGCTCACGGTGGCTGGGAAAATTTAAAAAGATTTGGCGGGGTGGAAATTTGGAGGCCCGGAAATTTTTGGGGGGGAAATTGGGAATTCCGCGAATGTGTGAAGCCCGCGAAAGTTGAAAACGCGATTGTTGAGGGAGACCTGTATATGTGTGAGAGGAGGGCAGAGATGGAATAAAGAGAGGAGGAAGAACGAAGGAATGGAGATAGTAGTAGTAGTAGTAGAGGTAATGTTGGTAGTGGTAGTAGCATTTACAACCTCTCCTCACTTAACAATGGAGTTCCGTTCCTGAGACTACATCATTAAACAAATTCGTCGCTAAGTGAGGAGCATACTATAATGGCAGTGGGTTTGTGTCAACCATCTTTGATATTGTTTTAATGTCGCCTTTGTACCATTTATAACATTTCTGGTATATTCTTAAATGTTTATACAGTAGTGTACTGTAGATTGAAATAAACAGAATAGAGGAATTCAGCTCTAGTATACGTACATTATTTAAGTAAGGAGGGGTGTTAATGTTGCAGTTTAAAGACTGTAGTGTAAAGCACCCTTCTGGCAAGACAGTGATGGAGTGAATGATGGTGAAAGTTTTTCTTTTTCGGGCCACCCTGCCTTGGTGGGAATCGGCCAGTGTGTTAATAAAAAAAAAAAAAATTTAAATATGAATACTGGTCAGAGAACTCATCGTAAGTACGAGGCGTCGTTAAACGAGTACATCGCTAAGTGAAGAGAGGCTGTATTTATGTATGATGGTTGTCGCTGAATGGGAGCCTGATGTCTGAGAAAGCTGGAACTCAGCTACTGATGGAAAACTGAGCCTCTTTACTAGAGAAAAGAGAATTCAAGAGGAAGCATAGTGAGCAAGCAAGATCTTATAGTAATGTAATGTGGAGTAATACAAGAGGGATTGTACTCCTATTTCATCAGAATGCAAATATAAAAATATGGATAGTAAAATGCAAATAAAAAGAAGTGATCACAGCATAAGTTACACTAAAATCAAAACATGCAAATGTGGTATAGTGTCCTCGCTAATAAAACGTAATACAGAAACATAATTTACAAAATGGTTCACAGAGTTACAAAATATATGAATTATGCAGAAACTCAGAGAATAGTGAAAGTGCCATAGTTGGTATTAAGGAGGAAGTGAGGAAACTTGATAACCACATTTAAGAACATAAAAGAATATAATCAAATAAATAAGGAAGATATTTTAGCTCCATCAACTGGGAGAACAAGGCACAAAATTGCAAATAAAAAAAAAGAATAGTAGTAATAGTAGTGCCAAAAGAGCGCTAATATTTGATGAGAAAGATAACCAATGGAGTGGTAGCCACGAGGAGGAGCTTGTGTGCACTATAACCACAATAAACTTGAAACAATTAAGACAAACTTAACACTGAACATTATATGCTCATAAAGAAAACACTTATGCAACATTCGGGTGTCTTCATTCAGGAAATGTTTTGCCATGCAGTGGCTTCTTCAGTCCAGTGCAAAGAAAGGTGAAAGATGAGGGTTTGAGGTAATCAGTCTCTCAGCCTGATGAGGTGGAGCAGTGCTCCACCTCATCTGTGATAAGTATACAAGTCCCATCTCTGCATATATGATGCACTTTTGTCAAGATTGATGGACTGAGCACATTGATTCCAGGCTAAGAGACTGATTATCTCAAACCCCTTATCTTTCACCTTTTTCTGCACTGGACTGAAGAAGCCACTGCATGACAAAACGTTTCCAGAATAAAGATACCCAAATGTTGCACAAGTATCTTATTTACCAACTTGTCAATTTTCTAAATCATTTATTCACATTACAAGCACTGTTCTGCTCAGGCAATTACACAGGTCATCAAACATTCAAACAAATACAAACTTGACACACTAATTTATTTACTCTTCAAGCTGCAGTGATACACAAAAAAATGAAGCTTTCCGAGCAACAATACAATGAACTCAAAGTATTACAAGAAAATTTAGATCTATTTAATTAATATAAAATATAGTACAAGGTAACTACTATTAGCAAGAACAAAAAAGGCACAATACCGTGACTGGAACAATACACAAATATCCCACACATAGGACAAATATGTTTATGACGACATTTTGGTCCAACTTGGACCACTGACTAGTCAATGGGCAGCAGACTATGTGACTAGTGAATGGTTGGTGGACCATGTAACTAGTGAATGGTCAGTAGACCATGTGACTAGTCAATGGTCAGTGGACCATGTGACTAGTCAATGGTCCAAGTTGGACCGAAACGTCATCATAAGCTTCTTTCTTCTATGTGCAGGTTATCTGTGTATTACTCCTAAGAAGCAGTGGAGTTTGGAGCCACAAGTTAGCAAATTAATGCTATACATATGCAGAAGAACAAACCTTTAAGGGAAAATGAGCATTATCTTCTCCTCATCAAAAGAATATGCTGCCACTGGTATGCCAAGTTTATTCTTCAGGCATAAAATAGGAAAAAGCAAAACAAATAACCAAAGACTTTCAACAGTGACGGCAATGATGACTGGCTACGCAGCACCTGTACATGAGATAGTGGTTGTGAGAGAGTTTAGTCATGCAGTACTCACAACTTGTTCCTGGCATGGTGTTAGTCACTCCTCCCAGGCCAAACATGGGGGGCTTGGGGGCCCCACCACCAAAGTTAGACAGAAAGCCAAACCCTGGCAATTATAAACTTGTTAGTTACTAGAGCTTTATATAGAAATGTGTCAATCAGTCGACTAATTCCAGGGTGCTAGTAATGTTAGTATTTCTATGACGACAGAGCATCACACAAGACAAACAGATAAGTAGATAAGTAGTGAAGTAAACAGAGTTTGAATGAAACTGAAATAAGAAATACACAAACAAGTATACAGTGGTACCTCGGGATACAAACAGCTCAAAATGCGAACAATTATGTAAGTGTATTTATGTAAGTGCTTTTGTAAGTGTATTTTTGGGGGTCTGAAAAAGATTAATCTAATTTACATTATTCTTTATGGGAACAAATTTGTTCATTATCAGCACTCGAACAGCCTTCTGGAACGAAATAAGTTCATATACCGAGGTACCACTGTATAAGCTCTATTGAAGAGTGTGCAATTAAACAACAACTGAGATATATTGATATATACTGTGTTGTTGAGTTAAGAGTTGGCAGATGTGTTTCTGTTCAACGGGAAATGAGTAAATTTAGCCTGACAAATTGTAGAAATTTTAAGGCAGTAAAAATGACAATGTATAAGGTTATATTTTTTGTCACGATTGTATAAGAATATAATCACTGTAATCATTTCCTTACAAATGAAGCATGTTCTTTAAGTTGGGTACAACAAGTGCTCATAAGTGGAGAAATCAGAGGCAAAAGTTGTGATTAAATACATCCACTAGAAAGACAACTTCGAAGCAAATTTATGATATTATGATAACAACAATGGGATGTTGGTGGTCCTCTTTATACCATGGTGAAGTAATGGGAAACTAACTAATTCAAACATGAAAGAATAAGTAACCATCAGAGTCACCACTGATACACTAAGCAATAACTCGGAATCAGCAGCACCAATCTTCATTCAAAACTTAAACTCGTAGAAAACACTCACCCATTGGTCATCGTGATTATCATGAACAGAATCAAAGTGTGAAACATGAAAATACCCAAGAAATATACCCAGATATCAAGGGAGCACTAATCATAGCATTATTAACATGCACAACAGAGCTCAGCTTATTAACTGTGTTTACCTGTTCCTGAGCTGGAAACTGCTGGGGTGGTTGTTCCAAAAGCTGACCCAAATGCTGCATAAATTATAAAAAAAATATTAAAAAATTAAATAAACTATGTACAGTATGGTGGGGTCCCAAACTTACATGCAACTTGTGTTTCTGCTGTTTCAACTTGCCAATAAGATTTCTGTATCTCAGAACCCATTCTCCTATAGAAAAAAATAGTGTTACCATTTGGGTAAGACACAAGTGCAACATTTGGGTATATTTATTATTAAAACATTTCACCTACACAGTAGGCTTCTTCAGTAGAATACAGAGCTGACAAAAAAATGCAGAGAGCAGAATCAATAGCACGATAATGATGATGTGATGAGGCCAACAACCTTTTAGTAGTAGTTTTTGAGATAGTCAATCCTTCAGCTTGGAGATAGTTGCTCAGTCGTCTTCGTAAAGTGCGATGCTCGTTACTTGTATGTTTGTTAGTTCAGGACCCCATGCACTTTAATACAATATTCTATAATGCCTAATTTGAATTTATAGCTCATACTTCTTGCAGAATTTTTACAGTGAATACAGGTTTGCTTCATGTCATGCAAATTTACTTCTATGAGGTATACCTTTTCTATTGATAATTCCTTCTTTGCAATATGCATTCACCATATGCGGTTAGTGCATTTTTACAAGAGTCTGGATACACAAACCATATGTATGGGACCCTATATATTTTATGTCAGTATGTACAGTACTGTATTTACGAATTCGTTTAAAAAACTTTCTAATGAAAAAGATTTTAAAAAAAATTTTTATAATTTCAGGGGTTCAGTTTTCTTTTGGTAAAATATATTGTTACTTCCCACATACTTCCAGTAATTTGTCAATACTGTTCGGTTTTTTTGAAAGAAATGTTTAAGTTGAATTCTTCTGTTTTTTCATTTCATTTAATTATACTGGTGAAGGAATGTTGGATAAGTAGAGTTCACGTAATATAATGCACTTATACAAAAGAAAACTCTTTTATATGTAATTTCATGAAAAAACAAATTTATTTGGTAGAAAAAATCAAAGAAAAAATACTATTAAGATGCTTTAAGAGGTTCAACACTGAATATACAAAAAATGTGTCTAAATGGCTTAGCTAAAATTTCTGCCCTTTTCCTGAGCTGGCATGCGGGCTGGATGTTCCGAAGCTGCCCCAAAGGGCTGTTAAATTTTAGAAAATGTTAAAAAAAAAATGCCCGAAACCGCAGATAATAGCGAACCTTATATATAATTTATATGTCTTTTTTTTCGTTTAACAAAATAGCAATGATAAATTTAATTGATAAATTTGTATTTTTCACTTGTGGGAAGCCTTCATGGTTCTTTGGTTTAAAAAAACTATTATTAAGCAAAATTAAGGATTTTTTTCAGGCCCAAGTAAACCTGGATAACTAAAAATGAAAAAAAAACTGATTCTGGGTTTACAAAAATTTTAAAAAAAAAGAAAATCCTTAACATTTTTTTTTTTTTTTTTTTGGGTGGTCAACCTCCCTATGGGAAGGGGTTGGGTTTTATTGACAAAATTTTTTTTTTTTTATCATGAACAAAAGCAAAATATGAAGAAGAAAAACCTGAGGATTCTTGATACCTGAGAGCTTTTCACAAAAAGATAAAAAAAAAAAATATTATATAGAAAGCTTATCAATTGTTTTTACCTGTTCCTGGTTTGAAACTGCTGGGTATTTGCTCCAAAAGCTGACCCAAATGCTGTAAAATTTTTTGACAGTGTTATAACAATTTTTAATTTTTTTTCTTTTTCCCATGCATGATATTACCCCCTTTTTTTAGCAACTTTTTTGGTTCCAAACCCTAACAAAATGACCAAAAATTTCCCAATACCTTTTTTTTTCTCCTCCCATGAAAAAAACCCTTATTGCCACTAATTTTTAATTTTTTTTATTCCTTATTCGTGCATAATATTTAAATCACACATGCTCTAAAAGCAAAATCATCACTGCCTGTAGTCTCCTCCTTGCTAGAACACTCAGTGGCATGTTCCCCCAAACAAAACTGTTTTAAAAAAATTACTGGCACATTCCCAAAATTTATATCCACTTTTTTTTTATGGTTTTTTAAACACTTCTCCTAAATTTACTGGTTTTTTATATGACTTGCCCCCATTCTATCCATCCATCTAATGACTTCCCCCCCCAAATATCAAATATTCCCTTTCCTCCCTACTTCTGCTTTCAATTTACACTGTTTTTCTTTGCCTTGAGTAAGAAAAAAGTTTTGGCTCAAGATTTTCTTACAAACCCTCTTGTCTTCCTGTATTTCCTTCTTTTACATGCCCTTTTAACTTCTCAAACAAACCCCTTCTAAAGGGATGTTCAAAGTGAAAAACAATGTAACCCCTTCCTTTATGCCGTTTCATTACATTTAAATTTTTAATCTCCCCCAAAACTACTGTTCCTTCTTTGATGTCCCCCCTATAAAAACCAACATCTGTGTTTTGGGGGAATCATATAACCCGGTAGGGCCCCCCCCCCTTACTGGCAATGTTTTCTCTAATAAACTCAGCCAGAGCTTTTTCATAGCATAGAAACTCTCTCAATTCATTAACAAAATACTACCACATATTCCATATATATGTAACACATCTGCATATGTATTGTCATATTGTCTTTTCCAAATTCATAAATGCAACACATAGTTCACTACTCCTTATCTAAATATTGCCTCCTTGCATGCTTTAGGGCTATAATTAAAAATCATCTCATCTCCCAAACTTAACTATACAAACACTATATACTATGCCTGAAATCATTCAACTAGTTTGAAATTACTCAAGAAATCCTAAATAACTTAAGATCGCTAAATTTATCTAAAATATTAATACACGCTTAAAATTGTACTGTTGTAATATTGTAAATTGAACTAATTATAATACTTTTGTTTTTCTGCCCCTCTCTGCTATAAATCTTATTAATTATAAATTTTTGACTACCTCTCTTTTGTAATAATGTACAATAATGAATATTTAAAATTTACCACTCCACAACCTGTCAAGTTTTAAGTAGTGTGTAAGCATTAGGATAAGTCTGCCCGAATTGCTCAGGCATGCTAGTGGCTTTCTTTGTGCTTAAAAATACTTTATAACAAGTCAATCACACATTGTAAATTGCACATTGTACTATGCAAAGAAATAAAAAATTGAATTTGAACACTTGGTCTATCCATCACTTTCCATTGCCTTCCAATCCAAGATCATCCTCCTTCCACTGCAATCCTTCATTCTGCCTTTTCCCCAATTTTTGATAAGGATTCTACCGTATACTTTACCCAGTACACCCAGTACAGTGTCTGCACTCTGAAGGAGGGGTGTTAATGTTGCAGTTTAAAAACTGTAGTGTAAAGCACCCCTCTGGCAAGACAGTGATGGTGTGAATGATGATGAAAGTTTTTCTTTTTCGGGCCACCCTGCCTTGGTGGGAATCAGCTGATGTGTTAATAGAAAAAAAATGTATATATACGTGTAATGACTTTTGCATTAAGTAATAGCTAAATACCTGACATAAAAAGGCATGTGTAGAAACAAGAAAATGCCTGAGAAATATATTTAGTACCCTCAAAAAACTTATCACTGAATTAGCATATTACAAGAAAAGTTAACCTATATAACACAATTTGAAAAATTAAATGATCTTACGTGTTCCAGAACTGGACACTGCTGGGTTGGTCGTTCCAAAAGCTGACCCAAATGCTGGAAAATTCACAGATAATATTCATCACAAAATCCAAAATACATTAATATATTCAGTAAATAAAACATAGCTTGCCTCTAATACTTAGCATTTATGAAACTATCTAAAAGGTAACTAGGCTTCAATAGTAAGTTTCAGTACTGCATGACACACAGGTGTGCAGGAGCTACTCAGAAGGATGCAATCCTAAAGCTATCTATGTCACATGATAGTTTATTAGTGTGTGTTTGAAAGCATTTCACTTGACTGTGTTTACACTTTTCAGAATCAATACTGTATATAATACAGTGGTACCCCGAGTTTCGTACAGCTCCCAACTCCAAGAATTCTGTAAGTGTATTATTGTAAGTGATTTTGTAAGTGTATTTTTGGGGGTCTGAAATGGACTAATCTAATTTACATTATTCCTTATGGGAACAAATTCGTTTGGTAATGGCACTCGAACAGCCTTCTGGAATGAATTATGGCTGAAACTCGGGGTACCACTGTAATGTTTGTTACAGTAGACCACTGATTAAGATGCGATCTTAATTGTGGCAAATTGAGGCATTTTTTTCAATCATGATGCCTTAATGTTTATTTATGACAGTGCAAATTTATAGGAAAAATATAGAAAGCCATGGGAGCATTCCCCTATGCCTCATAACCAGCTTATGGGTCAGGCCATTTTTGTACAGGGGAGGCCTTGTCGAACTTCTTACACACAACCCCCCATGCCTCAGTTTTCCATGTATAAGCTTGGTTCATCATATTACAATTCACTCCAGCCTGCTTTCTCAACTACTCTACACCTTGTTAACTGCCGTGAACCTCTCATAAAGGACTCTTGCCTTTCATACCACTGGTGTTTCTTTATAGTGAGTCTGGTGGTGACCATCTTCTGCTAAATCTATGAAAAGTTGTTCATGTAACCTTTGATCACTGCTGCATCAGTGTCTGTAACCTCACAAGCAGTCATACCTACTGCTGCATCAGTGTCTATAACCTCACAGGCAGTCATACCTACTGCTGCATCAGTGTCTGTAACCTCACACGCAGTCATACCTACAACTGCATCATTGTCTGTAACCTCACAAGCATTCATACCTACAGCTGCATTGTTGTCTATAACCTCACAGGCAGTCATACCTACCACTGCATCAGTGGCTGTAACCTCACAAGCAGTCATATTTACAGCTGCATAGCTTTCTGTAACCTCACAAGCAGTCATACCTACTGCTGCATCAGTGTCTATAACCTCACAGGCAGTCATACCTACTGCTGCATCAGTGTCTGTAACCTCACAAGCAGTCATACCTACAGCTGCATAGCTGTCTGTAACCTCACAGCAGTCATACCTACAACTGCATCATTGTCTGTAACCTCACAAGCAGTCATACCTACAGCTGCATTGTTGTCTGTAACCTCACAGGTAGTCATACCTACTGCTGCATCAGTGTCTGTAACCTCACAAGCAGTCATATTTACAGCTGCATAGTTGTCTGTAACCTCACAAGCAGTCATACCTAATACTGCATCAGTGTCTGTAACCTCAACAAGCAGTCATACCTACTGCTGCATCAGTGTCTGTAACCTCACAAGCAGTCATATTTACAGCTGCATAGCTGTCTGTAACCTCACAAGCAGTCATACCTACAGCTGCATCATTGTCTGTAACCTCACAGGCATTCATACCTACTGCTGCATCAGTGTCTGTAACCTCACAAGCAGTCATATTTACAGCTGCAATGTTGTCTGTAACCTCATAAGCAGTCATACCTACTACTGCATCAGTGTCTGTAACCTCACAAGCAGTCATATTTACAGCTGCATTGTTGTCTGTAACCTCACAGGCAGTCATACCTACTGCTGCATCAGTGTCTGTAACCTCACACGCAGTCATACCTACAGCTGCATCATTGTCTGTAACCTCATAAGCAGTCATACCTACAGCTGCATCATTGTCTGTAACCTCACAAGCAGTTGCACCTACAGTTGCATCGTTGTCTGTAACCTTACAAGCAGTTATACCTACAACTGCATTTTTGTGCTTTTCCTAGTATTTGTGATGGGAATTCTTAGAGAAACACTCAGGAGGATTTATTCATTACAATTCGCAAAAGAAGTAAAGAGGTTATCGTTTGTTCTCTTAAGATCTCTGGTTGTTAGCAGTCTCACGAGGGCACTTCACTTGTTCACTCTTATGGTTCTTAAACTACCACTAAAGTTTTTAGCAAATGCTTTAAGACAAGTTTTATAAGATATGTATAAACACCTGAAAATGCAGTAGAATCTCACACTTTATGCATCCACGTATGGCATATTCAATAAATTGCAAGTGAAATATTGTAACTGGGTCTACATTTTGTGGGAAAGTGACTGTGCAATTGTACTGCAAGAATTCTGTTGGAGTGTGAGTAGGGTAATATTTAGTGAAGGGACCAGGATGTGTGGACCAGGTGTTTACAGTGAAACATATAAGTGAACAGTATTTAGATAAGGCTAAAGAGGTCTTTGTGGCATTTATGGATTTGGAAAAGGCGTATGACAGGGTGGATAGGGGGGCAATGTGGCAGATGTTGCAGGTGTATGGTGTAGGAGGTAGGTTACTGAAAGCAGTGAAGAGTTTTTACGAGGATAGTGAGGCTCAAGTTAGAGTATGTAGGAAAGAGGGAAATTATTTCCCAGTAAAAGTAGGCCTTAGACAAGGATGTGTGATGTCACCGTGGTTGTTTAATATATTTATAGATGGGGTTGTAAGAGAAGTAAATGCAAGGGTCTTGGCAAGAGGCGTGTGGAGTTAAAAGATAAAGAATCACACATAAAGTGGGAGTTGTCACAGTTGCTCTTTGCTGATGACACTGTGCTCTTGGGAGATTCTGAAGAGAAGTTGCAGAGATTGGTGGATGAATTTGGTTAGGGTGTGCAAAAGAAGAAAATTGAAAGTGAATACAGGAAAGAGTAAGGTTAATAGGATAACAAAAAGATTAGGTGATGAAAGATTGGATATCAGATTGGAGGGAGAGAGTATGGAGGAAGTGAATGTATTCAGATATTTGGGAGTGGACGTGTCAGCGGATGGGTCTATGAAAGATGAGGTGAATCATAGAATGATTGAGGGGAAAAGGCGTGAGTGGTGCACTTAGGAGTCTGTGGAGACAAAGAACTTTGTCCTTGGAGGCAAAGAGAGGAATGCATGAGAGTATAGTTTTACCAACGCTCTTATATGGGTGTGAAGCATGGGTGATGAATGTTGCAGCGAGGAGAAGGCTGGAGGCAGTGGAGATGTCATGTCTGAGAGCAATGTGTGGTGTGAATATAATGCAGAGAATTCGTAGTTTGGAAGTTAGGAGGAGGTGTGGGATTACCAAAACTGTTGTCCAGAGGGCTGAGGAAGGGTTGTTGAGGTGGTTCGGACATGTGGACGAGAATGGAGCGAAACAGAATAACTTCAAGAGTGTATCAGTCTGTAGTGGAAGGAAGGCGGGGTAGGGGTCGGCCTAGGAAAGGTTGGAGGGAGGGGGTTAAAGGAGGTTTTGTGTGCGAGGGGCTTGGACTTCCAGCAGGCATGCGTGAGCGTGTTTGATAGGAGTGAATGGAGACAAATGGTTTTTAATACTTGACGTGCTGTTGGAGTGTGAGCAAAGTAACATTTATGAAGGGGTTCAGGGAAACCGGCAGGCCGGACTTGAGTCCTGGAGATGGGAAGTACAGTGCCTGCACTCTGAAGGAGGGGTGTTAATGTTGCAGTTTAAAAACTGTAGTGTAAAGCACCCTTCTGGCAAGACAGTGATGGAGTGAATGATGGTGAAAGTTTTTCTTTTTCGGGCCACCCTGCCTTGGTGGGAATCGGCCAGTGTGATAATAATAATAAAAAAAAAATTCAGGAAAACCTGTTATTTTTATACAGCCGGACTTGAGTCCTGGAAATGGGAAGTACAATGCCTGCACTTTAAAGGAGGGGTTTGGGATATTGGTAGTTTGGGGTGATATGTTGTGTATCTTTATATGTATATGCTTCTAAACTGTTGGTATTCTGAGCACCTCAGGAAAAATAGTGATTATGTATGAGGTGAAAGTGTTGAATGATGATGAAAGTATTTTCTTTTTGGGGATTTTCTTTCTTTTTTGAATCACCCTGCTTAGGTGGGAGATGGCCGACTTGGACTTCCAGCAAGCGTGCGTGAGCGTGTTAGATAGGAGTGAATGGAGACGAATGGTACTTGGGACCTGACGATCTGTTGGAGTGTGAGCAGGGTAATATTTAGTGAAGGGATTCAGGGAAACCGGTTATTTTCATATAGTCGGACTTGAGTCCTGGAAATGGGAAGTACAATGCCTGCACTTTAAAGGAGGGGTTTGGGATATTGGCAGTTTGGAGGGATATGTTGTGTATCTTTATGTGTGTATGCTTCTAGACTGTTGTATTCTGAGCACCTCTGCAAAAACAGTGATAATGTGCGAGTGTGGTGAAAGTGTTGAATGATGATGAAAGTATTTTCTTTTTGGGGATTTTCTTTCTTTTTTTTGGGTCACCCTGCCTCGGTGGGAGACGACCGACTTGTTGAAAAAAAAAAAAAAAAAAAATACAGTAGAGTATATACGGTAGAGTTATAATTGAAAGAATTAGAGATAAGACAGAATGTAGAATTGCGGATGAGCAGGGAGGCTTCAGAGTGGGTAGGGGATGTGTAGATCAAGTGTTTACATTGAAGCATATATGTGAACAGTATTTAGATAAAGGTAGGGAAGTTTTTATTGCATTTATGGATTTAGAAAAGGCATATGATAGAGTGGATAGAGGAGCAATGTGGCAGATGTTGCAAGTTTATGGAATAGGTGGTAAGTTACTAAATGCTGTAAAGAGCTTTTATGAGGATAGTGAGGCTCAGGTTAGGGTGTGTAGAAGAGAGGGAGAATACTTCCCGGTAAAAGTAGGTCTTAGATAGGGATGTGTAATGTCACCATGGTTGTTTAATATATTTATAGATGGGGTTGTAAAAGAAGTAAATGCTAGGGTGTTCAAATTCAAAATGGGAATTGACACAGTTACTTTTTGCAGATGATACTGTGCTTATGGGAGATTCTAAAGAAAAATTGCAAAGGTTAGTGGATGAGTTTGAGAATGTGTGTAAAGGTAGAAAGTTGAAAGTGAACATAGAAAAGAGTAAGGTGATGAGGGTATCAAATGATTTAGATAAAGAAAAATTGGATATCAAATTGGGGAGGAGGAGTATGGAAGAAGTGAATGTTTTCAGATACTTGGGAGTTGACGTGTCGGCGGATGGATTTATGAAGGATGAGGTTAATCATAGAATTGATGAGGGAAAAAAGGTGAGTGGTGCGTTGAGGTATATGTGGAGTCAAAAAACGTTATCTATGGAGGCAAAGAAGGGAATGTATGAAAGTATAGTAGTACCAACACTCTTATATGGATGTGAAGCTTGGGTGGTAAATGCAGCAGCGAGGAGATGGTTGGAGGCAGTGGAGATGTCCTGTCTAAGGGCAATGTGTGGTGTAAATATTATGCAGAAAATTCGGAGTGTGGAAATTAGGAGAAGGTGTGGAGTTAATAAGAGCATTAGTCAGAGGGCAGAAGAGGGGTTGTTGAGGTGGTTTGGTCATTTAGAGAGAATGGATCAAAGTAGAATGACATGGAAAGCATATAAATCTATAGGGGAAGGAAAGAGGGGTAGGGGTCGTCCGAAAGGGTTGGAAAGAGGGGGTAAAGGAGGTTTTGTGGGCGAGGGGCTTGGACTTCCAGCAAGCGTGCATGAGCGTGTTAGATAGGAGTGAATGGAGACGAATGATACTTGGGACCTGACGATCTGTTGGAGTGTGAGCAGGGTAATATTTAGTGAAGGGATTCAGGGAAACCGGTTATTTTCATATAGTCGGACTTGAGTCCTGGAAATGGGAAGTACAATGCCTGCACTTTAAAGGAGGGGTTTGGGATATTGGCAGTTTGGAGGGATATGTTGTGTATCTTTATACGTATATGCTTCTAAACTGTTGTATTCTGAGCACCTCTGCAAAAGCAGTGATAATGTGTGAGTGTGGTGAAAGTGTTGAATGATGATGAAAGTATTTTCTTTTTGGGGATTTTCTTTCTTCCCCATGGAGATGAGAGGAAATAAACAAGACTAAGAACTACAAAGAAAATAGAAGAAAACCCAGAGGGGTGTGTATATATGTGCTTGTACATGTATGTGTAGTGTGACCTAAGTGTAAAAAGAAGTAGCAAGACATACCTGAAATCTTGCATGTTCATGAGACAGAAAAAAGGACACCAGCAATCCTACCATCATGTAAAACAATTACAGGCTTTCGTTTTACACTCACTTGGCAGGATGGTAGTACCTCCCTGGGTGGTTGCTGTCTACCAGGCTACTACCTATAATATGTATATCTTTCTTTCTTTCAACACACTGGCCATATCCCACCGAGGCGGAGTGGCCCACCTAGGATAGCCACATCAAGTCACTCACTGCATTTCCAGATTAACAATCAACAACAACTACAATGTAAAGTATGAAAAACTTCATCATTCTGACAAATTTAAAAAATTAAAAAAAAACTTTTTTTGGTACCTGTTGAGGTGTCAGGACATCTGAATATTATCCTGGTATGTGTGTCAGACCAAACATCACGTTTTCATGTACGGTGACGATTTTTAGGAATGTAGCCTGTGCAAAATGTGAGATTTTACTGAACTTCAGATATCTGAGTGAGCTTTGTCATAAAAATGAATTACAAATAGAAGTGAATACACATACGTGATGATGTTGTTGTCCCTCCTCCAGTCGCACCTCCAAAACTAAATCCTGAAAATGATTTCATTCTCTTAGTAATATGCAGAAGATATTTTACAATGCAGTCATAACATAAAGTAACAGCAAAGCAATACTGTATAATAATGAATACTACCAGCTAAAACTTGTTACTATCATTATCAGCTGACATTAATCCAATACTGACTAAAATCATGCCCATATTTTTCCACACTCACCTGGAGTGTTTCATGGATATTGAAATATATTTATTTTATGTAAAGGAACTTTCAAAACACCATTTAATTATGAAAAAGCTGATGAGTATAGATATGAGAGGGAGAGTGAGTGAGAGACAGACAAGATATTTAGGTAAGGATAATATATATGGCATGAACCGAAACATGACCCTTAGTGTATGTTGAACATATATGTATGTCAGTGTGACATACAGAATAATACTAATTATGTATCAGCTGTATATCTCGAGACTGCCCCTGGCTACACTGCATAACCAGGGGCTTTATAGTAAGTATCTCAATAATATCAACAGTTCCTAATTGTACTTTGTAGAAATAAAGTTTATCAGTACCATATATTTATATTGAATAATGTACAGTATACTGTAGAGCAATGTAAACAGTAGTGGGCAACTACTACCATGTATAGCAAGTGTGTTTATACCTGTTTCTATGTACAGTATACTGTATTTCATTATCCAATTTCATATTGAAAAAGTGGTATCTTTTCGCCCTCCATCTTAATCTGTCAGAGTTAACAGTGTTAGATGTAATTATCCTGCATATTTTTGTTTCCCCATATGCATGTGTAGAAATGCACATTACAGTGGACCCTCGGTTAACGATATTTTTTCACTCCAGAAGTATGTTCAGGTGCCAGTATTGACCGAATTTGTTCCCATAAGGAATATTGTGAAGTAGATTAGTCCATTTCAGACCCCCAAACATACATGTACAAACGCACTTACATAAATACACTTACATAATTGGTCGCATTCGGAGGTGATCGTTATGCGGGGGTCCACTGTACTCATATATGGATATAAAAGAATTGAAAAAGAAAGGTTTTCTGAAGTCAATAATAAGGAGAAAAAAATGCCACAGTTATAAACTAAGGAACATGAGATGGTGAAAGAATATTGGAAAGTTCTTTGAAGTGTGTAAGAACAAAAAAATGAGTTACATGATGACTTTGTAAAAAGTACAACAATAGAAAATTAAAAAAGTATTTTATAGATTAAATACTAAATATTAAATACAACAACAACTAAAAATACATAAGTACAGTAATTACATTACTATGTACTGTTGACTGCTAACACTACAGTACTGAACTAATGTTTTTTTTTTTTTATTTATTATCACACCGGCCGATTCCCACCAAGGCAGGGTGGCCCGAAAAAGAAAAACTTTCACCATCATTCACTCCATCACTGTCTTGCCAGAAGGGTGCTTTACACTTTCAGTTTTTAAACTGCAACATTAACACCCCATCCTTCAGAGTGAGGGACGTACTTTTCCATCTCCCGGACTCAAGTCCGGCCTGGCCGTTTTCCCCCTGAATCCTTCATAAATGTTACTTTGTCACACTCCAACACACGTCAATATTAAAAACCATTTGTCTCCATTCCTCCTTCAACACGTCACGCATGCCTGCTGGAAGTCCAAGCCCCTCGCACCAAAAAACCCCCTTTACCCCCTCCCTCCAACCCTTCCTAGGCCGACCCCTACCCCCCCCCTTCCTTCCCTACAGATGATACACTCTTGAAGTCATTCTGTTTCGCTCCATTTTTCTCTACATGTCCGAACCACCCCAACAACCCTTCTCAGCCCCTGGACAACAGTTTTTGGGAACCCCACCCCCCCTAACTTTCCCAAAATACGAATTCTCTGCATTTTTTCACACCCACATTCCCTCAGACATGACATCTCCACTGCCCCCAGCCTTCTCCTCGCTGCAACATTCATCACCCACGCTTCACACCCATATAAGAGCGTTGGTAAAACTATACTCTCATACATTCCCCTCTTTGCCTCCAAGGACAAAGTTCTTTGTCTCCACAGACTCCTAAGTGCACCACTCACTCTTTTTCCCTCATCAATTCTAATGTACAGTAATTTATTCAAATATCACAAACCAAACAATACAGGATGCAAAACAACCACAGGGGAAATAGAATGATCATATTTGCTTGGACATCCTCCTCTTTTCTGCAATTTTGCAAGCTCCTGATGATGTGTTGACTGCAGCATGAAAGGCTTAGAGCTATCATTCTACTCCCCCTGTGGTTGTTTTGTATCCAGAAATTTATCCGGTACCTGTTGAAGCTGGAGCAGTCGTATTGCTGCTTGCTCCTCCAAAGCCAAAACCTGAAAGTTACCGTAAATGTAAACTTATGTATCAGAAAGAAATAAAGCTAAAAAGAGGTACTTTAATAATTATAATAAAAATATATCTTGCAATGGGTCTCAAGTCTTTTTTGGTTAGAGTCATAATGCTGGATTTTCAAGTTGCATCATTTTCCTGTAAGCAACATTAATCAGACATAATACAGTACAACAATATCTAGAGATGCAATAGATAATTAACTTAAATATTAAATACTGTATAAATATTTTAAACTGTATAAACATGGACATTCATAAAAAACAATTAATGTATTCTGAAATATCAACAAGAACTGGATGATGGGCTTCAAAAAATTCAAATGCATTGTGGATCCAAGTCAGCTGTTTTCAATATCACATTCACAAATTTTATACAGTATTGCATTTCTTTCACATCCACAATTTTTTCAATATTAAGTTCATTTATTTGTGAATTAATTGCACAGTACTGTACAGGTGCTCCTTGACTTACAATGGTTTGACTTACAATATTTCAACTTTATGACAATGCAAAAGCAATTACTCTGGAGATGAAACTTAAGATAATTACCCAGCATGAAGGCGGCAAGTCTGTAACTTGTATTCATTTATTTACTTTTCAATACTGACATTTAGTTACAGAAATTATTTGTTTATTTACTTATTCAGTGACTTATTTAGTACAGTAGACTATTATATTACACAATAGTTACATTCCTGAAAATGCTATGTTAGGTAAACTGGAGGGCTTAGGGAAAAATAGGGTTACGTTCCTGGGAGCCCCAAAAAAGCCAAATAACTTTTTTTTCAGACCTCCAGATCTTACAAAGATAAAAGTGAATATGTAATTGTAGTTCACTGTTGTGACGTATTATGTTGTTTTTACTGCTTAAGACTACAAATGCAACAGAAATAATAGTATTTCTTATCTTAAATTGTGGGTGCTGGTGTTTGTGGATGATTGTGAAGAGAGTGTAGAGTTATGTTGTGGCCCTACTGGGCTGAGGTGGATGGTAGAGGTTCTGGTACTGAAGTTGATGGTTGTACTGGAGTGTGCACAAATTCTGCAATGGATTTCTGTTCTATTTTATCCCGCAGTACATTATACAACTGACAGTAAGGCATCAGCTGCTCTAGACACTGTTTCAAGGTCCTCTTCAGTGAAAATGTCTAACTTTAAGTCAGTCAAGGCAGTAAATCAATCCAGTCAGTCAGTAAAGTAAGTCAGTCAGTTAGTCAGTCAAGTAAGTCAGTCAAGTCAGTCAGTCAGTAAGTCAGTCAGTCAAGTCAGTAAAGTCAGTCAAATAGGTCAGTCAGTCAGTCAAGTAGGTCAATCAGTCAGTGAAATCAGTCAGTCAAGTCAGTACATCAAGTCAGTAAGTCAGTCTAGTAAGTCAGTCAGTCAGGTCAGTCAGTCAAGTAAGTCAGTGAAATCAGTCAGTCAATTTAGTCAGTCAGTTTTTCATCACACAAACTCACATATTTACCTCATTCTTTTTAATTGTACAAAGTGACGCTTAATTACGGCCACAGGTTATCTCTTGTCTAATATCTCTATTATCTTCGTTAACTTTAAAACTTAAACGCTTATACCTTTTCTTGCCATTTTCTGCAACACTGGTATGCCTACTGGGTGTCATGATTGCTTGGCAGATACAAGATATGGTAATTAAAAGATCAAAACACAATTCACAAACACAGCTAGCTCCTAAGACAGAATGGAACTTAACATGTATTCATGAAGGCTGGAGTGGTGGTGGGAGGAGTGTTGGGGGTGGCAGGGGATGGCGGGAGGTCTCCCCCATGGACCTACAACAAGGCAGCAGCTTGAGCTGGGGAAAATTTTTCCATGCCCACAAATGGAACCGTGTAAAGTTAATTTTACGAAGTGTATAAAACCGAGCCGCAATTTTTCAATAGTGCAATAACCAAAATGTGGCAAATAAACCCGTGTAATATAACGGTCTACTGTATATCACATTCATATTTGACTTACAATATTTTCGACTTACAATGGGTTTGTCGGAATATAACCCCATCATATGTTGAGGAGCATCTGTACTGTATGTTATATCATGTGACCCCGCAAGATCCCTCGAATGCGACAATATGTAAGTGTATTTATGTAAGTGCGTTTGTAGCTGTATTTGGGGTCTGAAATGGACTAATGTATTCACAATATTCCTATGGAGACAAATTCGTCAGTACTGGCACATGAACATACTCTTTGATGTGAAAATAGTAACTGGGCCACGTTATCTGGATCGCAAAAGCCCATCTGCAGATCATGACTCTCATATTAAAGATCTTAAGCCTGATGTAACTGGATCTATGAAACATGGGAAGACAAAACAGGTACTGGAAGACAAGAACCCAGGGTACTGAAGAAAAACACAGTATGGAAGACAAGAATGCAGTAGTGGAAGACAAAGACCAATGAAAGCAAGAATCCAGGTAGTGGAAGACAAGAAGAACCCAGGTACTGGAAGACAAGAAGAACCAAGGTACTGAAAGACAAAAACCCAGATACTGGAAGACAATAAAAGCCAGGTACTGGATTACAAGAAGAAGCCAAGTACTGGAAGACAAGAAGAAGCCAGGTACTGGAAGACAAGAAGCCAGGTACTGGAAGACAAGAACCCAGGTACTGGAAGGCAAGAACACAGGTACTGGAAGACAAGAATCCATGTAGTGGAAGACAAGAACCCAGGTACTGAAAAACAAGAACCCAAGTACTGGAAGGCAAGAAGAACCCAAGTACTGGAAGGCAAGAACAACCTAGGTACTGTAAGGAAAGAAGAAGCCAGGTACTGGAAGGCAAGAAGCCAAGTACTGGAAGACAAGAGGAAGCCAGGTAGTGGAAGGCAAGAAGAAGCCAGGTACTGGAAGGCAAGAACAACCCAGGTACCAGAAGGCAAAGTAAGACTACCCCAGAGTTCTTTCAGTTCTCTTTTCAATATTTTTTAAGTAAAGGTGTCAAATAGTAAAACGTTGAAGATTTCTATTATACTGATGATTTTGATTACAAGCGCTGTACATATACATACGTACATAGCAAGGACATTTCAGTATGGTGTGTTTAAGTGCACACGTGATAGTGGGAAAGATGTTTGCCTAAGACAGATCAAGTGACAGCAATCACTAGCTTACTGGTCATACTAAGTGATTACAGTGTGTGATGAATTAATGCCATAATGCTCTTATATTTTTTTCACTCACACTCACTCACTCACCTCCTGGTGCTGTTGTAGCCCCACCAGTGCCAGATGTCCCAAAACTAAAAGCTGTAAGGAGAAAAGTATGTTACTAAGTAGAAAATGTTCAAAACCATGGGGGAACAATTCACAAATTACCCCACACTTTGAAGAGGAAACGTGAGGCAACATTTTGGTCTATTTAGGATCATTATTTAACAACTTGGTAACAGTTCAGGACAGATGAAAACTTTATCAAAAGTTTCTTCTCCAAAATATAGGATATCTTTGAATGGGTAGCTTGTACATTTACCTCTCAGGCAACATCTTCAATGGTTGCCTCAGGAATAAGAAGACTGGTATAGGGTCCCACCCCCTTCCTGTTTTTTTTTCTCCAGGAACATTTCAAACCACTACATAAACTCTGTGTCCATGGCTTCAGCAGTCAGACTCCTTCATATTTAATTTTAACATTAACACATTTGTGTGATTAAAACATACTGTAATTATCCAAAGTAAACCCTCAATTAGCACAACACCAAAAATGCAAATTCAGTAACACTTGACTGGAAAAACAGCAACCAAATTTGATTTGCACCACAAACTCTCCCAACGAATGCACCAAAATTTGAGTTGTGCTACAAACTCTCCCAACTCACGAAGTACGTATATCAGATAAAAGTTTATGGTAGAGGTGGTGCGTTGAGGTATACGTGGAGTCAAAAAACGTTATCTATGGAGGCAAAGAAGGGAATGTATGAAAGTATAGTAGTACCAACACTCTTATATGGATGTGAAGCTTGGGTGGTAAATGCAGCAGCGAGGAGACGGTTGGAGGCAGTGGAGATGTCCTGTTTAAGGGCAATGTGTGGTGTAAATATTATGCAGAAAATTCAGAGTGTGGAAATTAGGAAAAGGTGTGGAGTTAATAAAAGTATTAGTCAGAGGGCAGAAGAGGGGTTGTTGAGGTGGTTTGGTCATTTAGAGAGAATGGATCAAAGTAGAATGACATGGAAAGCATATACGTAAATCTATAGGGGAAGGAAGGCGGGGTAGGGGTCGTCCTCGAAAGAGTTGGAGAGAGGGGGTAAAGGAGGTTTTGTGGGCGAGGGGCTTGGACTTCCAGCGTGCGTGAGCGTGTTAGATAGGAGTGAATGGAGACGAATGGTACTTGGGACCTGACGATCTGTTGGCGTGTGAGCAGGGTAATATTTAGTGAAGGGATTCAGGGAAACCGGTTATTTTCATATAGTCGGACTTGCGTCCTGGAAATGGGAAGTACAATGCCTGCACTTTAAAGGAGGGGTTTGGGATATTGGCAGTTTGGAGGGATATGTTATGTATCTTTATGCGTATATGCTTCTAAACTGTTGTACAGTATTCTGAGCACCTCTGCAAAAACAGTGATAATGTGTGAGTGTGGTGAAAGTTTGAATGATGATGAAAGTGTTTTCTTTTTGGGGATTTTCTTTCTTTTTTGGGTCACCCTGCCTCGGTGGGAGACGGCCGACTTGTTGAAAAAAATAAAAAATAGATAGGCCTGTACATTGCAGAGTCACTTGTTTGCACAGAACTGCTAAATGCCTCAAATGATGTAGTGGAAGTTTTAGCAGTAAAGGTCGAGAACCAAAACCTAGTCATTGTGGTAGTCTACAAGCCTCCGGATGCAACATCCCAGCAATTCCAGGAACAGCTGTTAAAAATTGACCCCTGTCTGGAAAATCTTCCAGCTCCTGCACCCAACATCTTGCTCCTGGGAGATTTCAACTTAAGGCACCTAAAATGGAGGAATATAGCAAATAATATTGTTGCAGTAATAACACCAGGTGGCAGCTCTGATGAAAACTCACACTCACATGAGCTTTTAAATCTCTGCACAAAATTCAATTTAAACCAGCAAATAATAGAGCCTACTAGACTGGAGAATACACTAGACCTCATCTTCACTAACAATGATGATCTGATAAGAAATGTCACCATATCAAAAACAATATACTCAGATCACAACATAACTGAGGTTCAGACATGTATGCGTGGAGCCCCAGACCGACATAATAAGACTAGTCACGAGGGAGCATTCAACAAATTCAACTTCAATAACAAAAACATAAAGTGGGACCAAGTAAACCAAGTCCTAACGATATAAGCTGGGAAGATTATACTAAGCAACACAGACCCCAACTTATGCCTAGAACAGATTAACTTGGTGGCACTCGATGTATGCACAAGGCTTATTCCTCTAAGAAAAAGGAGGAGTAGATGTAAAATAGAAAGAGACAGGCGTTCCCTTTACAGGCCGGAAAAAAATAACAGAGGGCAAAAAGGGGTTCAATTATCTAAAATGAGTGGGGGCACTTTTCAAGAAATGCAAGCATCGAACTCAACTAAAGGAATCTTATAGGAGTCAGGATCGGGGAAAACTAAAAGCCATAAATGAAATCGAAAGAAACCCCCAAAGTATTTTTTTTCCTATGCCAAATAAAAGTCAGAACAACGTCCGTATGGGCCCTACTTAAACAAGTGGGCCCTACACAGATGACAGAAAGGGAAAAGAGTGGCTACTCAAGCCCCAAATGACTCAGTTTTTAGCAACCGCAACCAGATGAGAGTCGAAGACAAAATAAATTTTTTTATAGAGACCCACAAAATTTGGTTTAAACACAACCCTATCCGATGTTACCCTGATGCCAAATGACTTGAACAGGCGATAAATGACATGCCCATGCACTTGCCCAGGGCCAGACTCATGGAATCCGTTTCATAAAGAATGCAAGGAAAGCCCCTATCACAGCCTTTTCCTCCTATGGAGAGGGAGCTGGCCCGGGGGTTCCCACAGTTACAAAAACAACAGACATAACCCCACCCCACAAAGGGGCGTTAAGCAACACAAAAAACCCAGACCAAAGCACTAAACCATATCATAAAAATCTTAGAAAGGGGGCCCCTAAAAACAAGATCACCACCCATCTAGAAACCCATCAGTTACCAACCCAGGGCAACAGGGGTTTAAAAAAAGGTCGCTCCTGTCTGTCTAAATTTTGGGATCACTTCGACAAGGTCCTAATGCACTAGAAGAAAAAAGAATGCAAAAGAATATAAAAAGACTTTGAAAAACCCTTCGAAAGTGTGACCCATGGCGAATAACGCACAAAATTGTGCTAAAGGAATAACAAAAAAGGCGGCGATGGGTCTAAATTTCCTCACAAAAAGAACACGAAAGTAGTCGTCAACAAAAGTAAAGTCCGAGGAGCTACAGTGAAAAAAACTCTTTCCCCAAGGCCAGTACCGCCCCTCTTTTCTTCCCCCCATTCCGACATGACAAGGGGTCAGCCCCAGCCCGGTTTCCTTTGCAATGACACCCAATCTGATGACAGTGTTTCCCTTGCAGACACTGCAAGGTCCAGGCGGACCAACCAAATCTTTAGTGGGCTGCAGAAAACAATATGAAATTCAACGATGAGAAATTTCAATTACTCAATATGGTAAAAACCCAGGGAAAAAAAATTTCTCAAGTCGAAACAAAATTTTGGCCCCAAAATAGAGCGAAACACCCAAAGTCAAAACTGGGATGATCATGCGGAGGGTCTCATCTTAAGGACCCTAACATTGTATCAATCGCTCTTTCTAGAAAAAGACAGATGGATAATGAGAACCTTTAAAACTAAAAAGGCCCAAACCCATGAGACACTCTTTAGGTCACTTTTTCTATCTAGGGGTGGAATATTGCTGCACACTAACAGCACCTTTCAAGCAGGTGAAATTGCTGACCTAGAAAATTACAGAGAACCTTCACGGCGTGCATAACGGAGATAAAACACCTCAATTATGGAAGCGCTTGGGTTCCCCGAACCTTTTCCCTGGAACGCAGGCGGGAGAGATCATGATTAATACACCTGGAAAATCTAGAGGGACTAGTACGAACTTTCACACGAAAATCACTCACTCGAAAGGAAAAGATTTGGGAGACGATGCAACATCCCCCCAATGAAAAGCAGGGGTGTCACTAGCACGTTAAGAGACCATACAATAAGTGTCAGGGGCCCGAGACTGTTCAACTGCCTCCCAGCATACATAAGGGGGATTACCAACAGACCCCTGGCAGTCTTCAAGCTAGCACTGGACAAGCACCTAAAGTCGGTTCCTGACCAGCCGGGCTGTGGCTCGTACGTTGGTTTGCGTGCAGCCAGCAGCAACAGCCTGGTTGATCAGGCTCTGATCCACCAGGAGGCCTGGTCACAGACCGGGCCGCGGGGGCATTAACCCCCGGAACTCTCTCCAGGTAAACTCCAGGTTAGTTAAAAAGTTAAGGGTAAAACAGAAAGGACTGCAAAGTGAACACACAGGATTTAGGAAGGGCAAGGAACATAAGCACAAGGAACATAAGCACATAAGTAAACAGTACTTACATAAAAGTAAGGAACCATTTGCTACACTGATGGCTGTAGAAAAAATGAATAATAGGGAAATAATGTGCCATACATTGCAAATGTATGGAATAGATAGTAGGTTACTAAAACTGGTAAAGAATGTTCTTGACGAAAAATTGAGTTTTTAAATTAGGGTAATAGGAGAGATTAAGATTCTTTGTATAGAAGTGAAAAAAACAGATGTGTGTTGTCACCATGGTTGTTTAATATATTATGGATGGGGTTGCAAAAGAAGTGAATTTTAGGGTGCTGGGGAGTGGTATGAAACTAAAAAAAAAAATTTTAACACATCGGCAGTTTTCTCTGAGGCAGGGTGACCCGAAAAAGGGGGAAACACTTTCATCATCACTCACTCCATCACTGTCTTTCCAGAGGTGTGGCAATACCACAGTTCAATAACAAAACATGTCTCCCCCCTCCTTCAGGGTGCAGGAGAAATGTTGTGCCTGATAAAAAGTGGGAACTGTCAGAGTTGCTTATTTTGCCAATGGCATGGTTCTTCCAGGAGATTCTGAAGACAAGTTGCAAAGGTTGGTAGATAAATTTGGGAGGATATGTTAAAAAAGGAAATGAAGCAGAAGTAATTAGATATTTTTGAGTGAACTTGGGTCTTTGAATGATAAGATGACCCAGAGAACAGATGGTAGGGGGGGGAGGTGGGTG